CCCCCTCACCACCGCCCTCCCGCTCACCTCCCCGCGCTTCAAACTCACGGTCCTGGGCTCCCCGAGCCCCGAAATCACGGCCCTCAACGCCCAAGGCGCCGACCGGGCCGCGCGCGACCGCCTCCGCCGCACCACCCACGCCCAGTACGCCGCGACCGCCACCCCGGCCGCCGTCGCCTCCTCCCTCTCGCGCATCCACACCCTCTCGTCCGGCAGTGCGGACCCGCAGCAGCAATACACCTTCCACCGACTCCTCCCGCTCGCGCACCTCCCCCACCCACAGCGCAGCCACGACTTCCTCGCGCGCCTCCGCGACGACCCCGGCATCCGGTCGGCGATGCGCCGGCACAAATTCTCCGTGCCCCTGCTCACGGAGATGGACCCCGTCGAGCACACGACGGCCCACTCGCGGACCCTGGGGCTCAACCGGAACAAAGGCGAGGTCATCGAGCTGCGGCTCCGCACGGACGCCTACGACGGGTACCGCGATTATCGCACGATCCGCAAGACGCTGTGCCATGAGCTGGCGCACTGTGTGCACAGTGACCATGATCGGTTGTTTTGGGAGCTGACCGGCCAGATTGAGCGCGAAGTCGAGAGGGGGGACTATACGAGGAGTGGGCGGGTGCTGGGCGCGAATAGTAGGGGTGCAGGGGGAGGGGGGGTGGTGGATGAGTTCTATAATCCCGGGGAGTGGGAGGAGGTGCAGCGGGATGGATTGGTGGTTGATGAGAAGGGGTGGACGGGGGGGAGCTTTGTCTTGGGGGCGGAGGGGGGGTCTGAAGGTGAAGGGGGGAGTAGGAGTCAGGCTCAAGCTACTGGGGGAGGGAGTATGAGGGAGATTCTGGCCAAAGCGGCGGAAGAGAGAATGAAGAGGGAGAGGGAGAGAGATGGGAAATAGAGCATATCGTCTCTGTTTGGATGCTTGGACTTTTGTCTGCAGATATCTTCCAAGTCACTAAATTCTCACGATGTAACGACTCCATAATCAAATTCAAATTCAAACCTGTTCATTGACAAACAACCCCGCCATCCCCTGGCCCGTCCCAATGCACATACTCGTCACCAGAACCTTCTTCTTGGTGCGGCGCGCCTCGCTCAAAATCGTACAGATCTGTCTCGCGCCCGTCGCTCCGAGCGGGTGGCCCAGCGCAATCGCGCCGCCCCGGGGGTTGACCTTCTCGTGCTCCAGCCCCAGATTCCGGAGACAGTAGACGGCCATCGACGCGAACGCCTCGTTGATCTCATACAGCTCGACCTCCTCCTTGGCCAGCCCGAACTGCGCCAGCAGCTTGGGGATCGCCGCCGTCGGCCCGATCCCCATCACCCTGGGCGGCACGCCGGCCACCGTGGCGCCGCAGAACTTGGCCAGGATGGGCTGATTCAGCTCGATCGCCTTGGACCGGCGCATCAGCAGCACCGCCGCCGCGCCATCCGTCACCTGGCTCGAGTTACCGCCGGTGCTCCGATCCCCGAACTGCGGGAACGCCGGCCGGATCTTGGCCAGGCTCTCCTTGGTCGTGCCGTAGCGCACGCCTTCGTCCCGCGTCACGGTCACCGTCTTGACCTCCCCGGTCTTGGGGTCCTTGACCTGCGTCGTGATGGGGACGACCTCCTCGTCGAACCACCCGGCCTTCTGCGCCGCCTCGGCGCGCCGGAACGACTCCGCCGCGTACGCGTCCTGCTCCGCGCGCGAGATGTCAAAGTCCGCCCCGACGTTCTCCGACGTCTGGCCCATCGGCTGCATGCAGTCGGCCGCCTCCTGGTGCCGCATGACCTCCGCGTGGAACGGCTTGGGGATCCGGTCCCCGCTCGGCGCCGACATCAGCTCCGCCCCCACCGCCACCCCGACGTCGATCGCCCCCAGCCGGATCTGGTTCGCGATGTCCTGCACCGCTTTCAGCCCCGACGAGCAGAACCGGTTCACCGAGGAAGCCCCCGCCGTGTGCGGGATTCCGGCGGCCAGCGCGGCCGCGCGCACGAGGTAGGCCGCTTTGCCGTCGTTGACCTGTTCTCGGATCATGTTAGTTTCCCATGGAGATGGGAAGGATTGAACGGCGAGTAATGAGTCAGGGTCAAAACGCACATTCCCCAAGCAGACATCCTCGATCAGACTGGGATCGATCTTCGATTTGGCAAGCACCTCCTTTAGCAAGGCGTAGATCAGGTAGTCCAGCTCGGTGTCCTTGAAACTGCCCTTGACGGCCTTGGTCAGCGGCGTCCGGAGCGCGAGAGTGATGACCACATCGTCGGGGTTCTTCTGGGTGCTGGTTGGCGGTCATTCGCGGTCAGTAGATACTCGCAATGTACAATGTTGCTGGAAAGGAGGAAAGTACATGGCTGAAAGTCCGCTGGTTCCGGACGGTTTCAGGTGGCTGAGGATATTGTTCAGACGGTCTGCTGCCATGGTTGTTGCTGCGTTTTGCTGTTAGCGTTCGTGCATGCAGGTATAGCTTATCCCTTGACGCAGGCTATGTAGTGAAGTGGAGCGGGGGGAACGCGAATCCGGGGAAAGAAAAGATGACTGCTGCATCTGGATGTCGATTTCAACATTAAAGCATGACGTGAGTAACTTACTGTGTTGGATTCTGTTATGAGTTCAAATGACTGAGTAAAGCAGGTTGATGAGAAGAGAAAAGAAACAAAGCAAAGGAGGGGAAGGTCGTCGAGTTGAAATGCGATGGATGTCTTACCTACCTTAACTACCCCAACCTCTCCAACCGAGCAACAGCCGAGGCTCATTTTTTGGCCACTGCAGCTGCTGCGTTGCTTACATCTCCGCACCCTTTTAACAACTCTTTATTAGAGTAACTAAATCTGCCATAGACTAGAATGGTCGGGGACAACCCGAGGTTCCTTTTTAGGGCTTACTCGCCGCAAATCATGTGTAGGAAACGAAACGATCCATTTTTTTCCCAGCAATTAATTTATCTACAGCTAGGGCCATGGGCGCGTGTACGACCCCGGCAGTTCCGTTGTCCAAAGCCAAACACCATCAAAGTAGAGAAGCAAACGCCAATACCTTTCCTCCAGCGCCATCCGCCTAATGATACGATACCCTGAGTTGTTCTTCCAAATTGCCTACAAGTGATGCATGTGCTCGTCGTTGCTGATCACACTGCCAACCTCCGACCAACTGGCCGGGGTGGCCGCGCCAGTCAACCGGCCCAGGTCGCTCAAAGTGCCATCGGATGATGCGTCGATCGCTGACTCATAAATGTGGCTGTAGCTATCGCTGGTGGATGGCGTCGAGGCGCGCTCCCGTTCAAGCTGCAGCTCTGCCAAGTCCGAGAAGGGCGATCTCAGGTCGCGCCCGGATTCGTTTGTCGTCCAGTCCCCAGGATGAGCATATAGCACTTCAGAGTGACCTTCTGTATGGCTAGAGATCGACTCGTCGTCTCCGACAACATGGTGTTCATCCTCGGTATGGGACGACGAGAGGAGCGACGCGGCCATTTTGTCAGGAGCTTCAGAGACAGGGGTGAACTCAGCCAGCGAAGGCGAACCGGCACGAGGCGACGGGATATCGAGCTGCAGCGGTGGACCTAAACCGTGAATATCCGTCTGGCCGTGAGATGCTTCAGGAAGCGAGGTTGGCCCCTTGCCCCGGTGCACCGGCTGCGACGTCGCCACTTCCACGGCAGTCGAGTTGGCTAACGGTGTATCACTCGATGAATCCGCAAGATCCAACAACCGGCCCTGCTCATCGACCAAAGTATCAAAGCTGTTTGACGGTGGCCTGGCCATGCCTTTGCGACGCTCTTCGAGCAAGGAGCGACGCCGGTCAAGCTCTTCCCGAGCTATTCGCCGCCGTTCTTCGGCTGCTGCGCCCACTTCCTCGGTCATGGAGATATCCTGTCTGAGCGGAGCATCGTGCGGGTTAATCTCGTCACCCAGATTGTGCAAAGCTAGTGCGATCTTGCGGCGCGAGTTGTTCACCCACTGGCGGAACTGCGGTGACTCGTAGACCGCGATCCCGGCGGCGACCAGCGCCGAGACGGTGATGATAATTCCTGGGTGTGTCAGTATCATGATTCCAGGCTACCTTTCCGTGCCAGGCAGAATCTGTAAATGAAACTCCGAGAAGGAAACATGATAGACAAAATGAGGAATGCTGTCCGGCTAGGCCCGGGAATATCTCATCCATCGTCATCCATCATCAACTGATAAGCACACACCGCCCAGATAACTAACTCTCTTCTTCTCTTGCAACAAGAAGGGGGGAAAGAAATGACCCTCAAGAGCAAGCATACCTTTCGCAACAGGCGTAGGCATCGCGACAGAGCACCTTTAACCCGAGAGTTGTTGACGCGAGAAAGGGAAAGTCAGAGAGCAATAAGTAGGCAGGCAGCAGTAAGGTCCACGGTAGTTAATCTAGTTAATCGATCACCTGCTGCTTCCGCCCCCTCGCCGCCACATGATTCCGGCTGCCCTTATCCGACTGCCCTAGCGGACTAAATATCACGTGCTGCAGTGCTGCCCCTCCGCGGTCCGTCAAAACAAACAGCTGCAACAACAGCAACCAGCAACCAGTATACAACCAGTCCTTACATCAATTCTTTCAACCCTACAACCCGATCATTGGATATCTCACCATGTCTCGCCCGTCATCCATGGCCCAGCGCCCGCTGACACTCACGGAAGAGCTCGAGAAGCTGGAGCAATCAATCACGCTCACTCTGCAGGGTAACTATGGACAATCCGCATCAGATGTCTCAAACAAGTCGACTGACACTGTCTTCTGCAGAGATCGACCACAACTTCAGTCAAGCCCATCGTATCGTCACAACCAGTGTTCTACCCCTGATCGAACAATATTCAGAGAGCTCCCGCGACGTCTGGGAAGGTGCCAAGGTATGCCCTACCATAGACACCCTCCCCATCCAATCTTTGCGTGAACCATCACTAACGCGCCATCAACCCCAGTTCTGGAAGCAATTCTTCGAAGCCAGCGCCAATGTCTCCCTCTCGGGCTACGAAGAGAAACCCGAAGACACCACCACAACGCTACAAGAGGAATCGGACCAGTCTCTCACCGCGCAACAAGACGAATCGCACCTCAGCCACGACGACCACCGCGAGCACGAACCTGACTTGGAGTTGACAGCCCTCAGTCTCTCCTCCCACAGCACCCCGCGCCCCTACGCATCTCATCACCACCACCACCAGCACGGCAACCAACAACCCAACGACACAACCGTCACCTCCTCCATCGCGCACCCCTCCCCATCCCCCTACGACCTCCACCCCGACTCCCTGCCCCTTGACAGTGATACCCGCGACCTCGCCCGCGCCGCCGAACTCGCCGACGCAGAAAACGAGGACTCCTTCCTCCCCACCACCCCAGGCAAATACTCGGCCTCGGCCTCGGCCTCGGCCTCGCGCACCTACCGCCCCACCCAACAACAGCAGCAACAACAACAACAATACCCCTACCACCACGACGAATCCCACACCCCACTCTCCTCCTCGCCCTTCATCCCGCCCGCCCCCACAACCACCCACGAAGCTTACGAAAACAACGACGATGTTGATGATGATGTTCACGAAGACCCCATCCTGCACCGCTTCCACGACAAGACCTACCGCGTGCAAGCCACCCCCCTCTCCAAGAAGCGGCAACCGCTCAAACACTACCTCTCCACCTCCAAATCCATCAAATTCACCAATCCCATGTTCAACACCACCACCCCGCAGAAGCCCCCCGCCAAGAAATCCAAATACTCCTTCGACTCCTCCCCGATCTCCAGCCCGGAGCCCGAGGCCCCGCAACTCCACGCCGAGATCTTCGACTCCCCCTTGAAAGGAGGAGGCGGGGCCGCCGCCGCGGCCCAAACGCCCAACACTGGTCGCAAGCGCCAGCCGAGCGCCCACCACCCTTACTATTCCCGCGTGACCCCCAAGCCCGGCATGAGTGTCCTCACTCCGATGAAGGGTGGGACCGGTCCGCCGGGTGGCGCGGGAGGAGGGTGGGATAGCGACGATGATGATCTCGGTGGTATTGGTGGTCGCTACGGCGGCGGCGGCGCGGCGTTCAGCGACGAGGACGAGGATCTGGGTCCCAGCCCTCCGAAGACGATGCAGTTCCATATTCCGCAGAGTCGGTTGATGAAAACTCCTGGTTAGATTACCCCCACCCCCAACTGTCTACACATGCAATTCCGCGCGGACACTAACCACAATTCTACCAAACCTACACAGCGAAAGAAGCGTCCAAGCGGATCGTGGAAGACTTGTTGTTCACCGCCGGAGCGAACGATACCACGGATGATATCGTGGAGGAGCAGAGTCCGAGCGTGATCCGCCGGGTGGAGAAGCTCGAGGATGAGAGTTTCTAGAGCAGAATCCACCATCCACCATCGCTGGTAACGACCAGATGGCGGTTTGTGCTACAGAGGCAAGACTTCCAAGTTATCATGCTGTACCTACTGTATATACCAATCCAAATCATCTCGCGTTTCGTCGCGGGATAATTCCCCCTTCAGGCGGCTGTCGTCCCTAATAGACTAACAATAACCCGGGCAAAATATCATGTTACGTCACAGCTGGGCGTAGCCGAGACTGTCTAGTCGCTCAATCCCTGCTTCCTCCTATCTCTACATTCGACTCATGGTTCTTTCCAAGCGGTCCAACATGACCAGATCAATTAGTAGTTGGGTCTGGGGCATCCCAATTCGCCACCAGACCACGCGCCCCGGGCTGCCTTACCGGCAAATTAGGTGTAAACTAGCTTCGAACCTGCGGGATCACTCGAAAGGAAAAGGTACAAAGAAAAAAGACAGGGCTCAAAAGAGAAAAGTGGGGGGGTGATCAGATTACAAGATCCGGGTTTGTTCGAGAGGGTGAGGTCAGGATAAATAGACACAAAAAAGGGTATCGACGGGGCTGATGACGATGACGATCGTCAAACTGTCAGAGAAGAGAGAAGGGCTGTTGGCAAGAAAGAGGAAAAGTGACACACAGATCGTCCACATCAACGTGGTATATGTATGTACAACAGAGGTCTTGTCGTCGCAATTGACAGAAAATGGAAGGGTATTCTAAACTAAACAAATGAACCAAAGCGTCGAGGAGAGAGGGTCGGAGGTTCTTCCCCCTACCGCGCCAGTCAAGCCGTGCCGGCGCTGGTGCCGGACCACAGGCGAAAACCAGGCCTGAGTAGTATGCATGGTGACTGAAGGCCAGTCATCAGTTCTGCATGCCCATGAAGATCTCCTGACAGTTGTCCACCAAAAACTTCATCACCTCATTCTTCTTCTGCACATCCGTCATTTCCCGTGCTAGACTCTCCGGCCGCATGATGGTCGGGGCAAACACTACAGCGATGTTCTGGCTGGTCATCAGATTCTCTTTCTCGCGCTCGACCACGCGCTTCAAGTGGAAGATCAGGAACTCGAGCACATCTTGATGCACACGTGGCAGTTCACGCAGGCTCTTTTGCAGAGACTCGATGCGACCCGCCTGAGACGTAATTTCACCCGTCTCAATAATGTTCTCGTAAACCTCGAACGTGATAAGTGGCGTAGGCAGCTTCCGGAAATACTGCTTTAACGCCGAAGTCACTGCGTGAATATCAAGATCCGGATCAGAAATATCGTAATCGTGCGGGGATCGCTCAAAGCCCTCGCGAATCGTCTGGATTGCCGAGCTAGCACCGGACTTCCGATAAATACCTTCCATGTCCATGCCTAAAAGAGTCAGTACAGGCCTACCAGTAGAGTGGGAAGAAACATACCTCGTAGCTCGACTTCCTGGATACAGCGAGAGACAATGCCAGGAATGATACTCTTCTCTTGCTCCATGCGCTGCTCCAACTCGGTACCAAAGAGTGCTGGAAAAGTAAGTATCACATTATGACAAACGCGAAGACGAAGAACGTACCATTAGGGTTGGTTTCAGCTAGAACGGGAACGCTGTCGGTGGTCGGCATCCGAGTTCCCACCTGCTTGCTGCGTTGATTGCCAAAGAAACCAAAACCCGGACGGCTAGGGTCTTGAGTTTGAGAACGCGGCAAGCCAGGGCTTCCTTCCGTGGCAGTGGCATTTTCACTTGACATGAAGGCACCCTTGAGTCCCTTGGTAACGCCCTTGGCGACGTTCTGACCACCCTTCTTCCAGTTAAACTTACGCGGCTGTCCTTTTCGGATACTGACGACTTGCGGGCCGGGCACAATCGTGGCGTTCTCGGCCTCTTCCGACATGTTGATAGCCGTGACTGGAACGAGGTCGCTGTGGGCCGCCTTCAGGGCTTCAATAGACGACAGCGACTTTTCCTTGCCATGGGAGTAGATGCCCAGGCCATTCGCCCCACGGCTGCCGTCATTGGCCTTATAGAGCTCTTGGATCTGGTGTACCAATTGGTTGTTGAGTTCTGCAAGCTGCGCATTCTTCGACGACAATTGTTCGAATTCCTGGAAGCTCTTATCCTTCATACGGTTCAAGTTGGTCAATTCTTCGGCGGCATCGTTGCGCTTCTGAATCAGTTCCTCAATCTGTGGAGTGAACGAGTCCTTCAGCTTCTGAATCGACTCCACAAATTCTCGCAGAACGTGGTTAGTCAATTTGCCAAGGTCGAGAGAACCGCCGCCACCACGCTTCTCAGCCTCCAGATGTTCTGTCAACACGGATAACTCGCGCATTGCAATCTCTTTCTGAGCGTCCAAGACCACCATGGTGGAGCGCTTCTCATTTAGCTCAGTGTTGACCTGCTTGACCTCGGCGCTAGCGTTCAGCATAGCCTCCATCTCCGCGAGCTTCTGCTCGCGGTCGAATACTCGTTGACGCTCCTTACGAAGTTCGTTGCGAAGCCAAGTCACTTCATCGGATCCGGTTACCTCCGCAGAGGGGCTCCCAAAGTCCGCAAGTGGCGTAGATCCATTCACAGGCGAGCGGGGCCATTTGGCATCACGGGACAGGCGAGAGCCTTTGTCGCTGTAGCTTCGACCATGACGCACCGAGTTGGAAACGCGCCGCAAGAAAGACTCGCCGTTCTGTGCCGCGGAGCCATCGCTGGCGCCTATGGCTTGAGAGGTCTCTCCATCCGCTGAGAGATCCGCTCCATCACCCTGGCGGTAGGATTCCACTTGCTGTAGGGCGCTGACTGAGTTAGGGCGTGCGGGGGGCTTGGGGCGCTCATGAAGATCGCTACGTGGTGTCCAGGTTGAGTCGCCCGTACGAGGAGTACTCTTGCTGAATCCAGCCCGATCTGCTGACCGCTCACTCCACTGCTCACTCGGACTCAATGAAGAAGCACGAGGTGACAAAGGTGCGTCCTTCCTTGGGCCCTGGTTCAATCGTCGGTCGAGGGAGTCGCCACGCTTGGGATGAGGCTGCACGCTCGAAGAGGACAAGAAGGAATGTGCGGAGTCGATTGAGCCGCTAGTTTCGTGAAGTCGGCGTAGCTCATGAGATGGTCTGGTTGGAAGTGTGGTCATGCTCTCTGGAGCTGTTGCTATTGAGCCATCTCTTGGTACGGTGGTCGTAGACTTGGTGCTCTCGGGGCTGGGCGAAGAAAATGTACTGGCTTCCTTGCGACCTCCTAGGTCGGAACGAGAACTACGCACCGAGCCAGACCGCGTGACAGGCGTTCTGTCACCACGAGACGTGCCGTTGGCCAAGTCGTCCTGACGCCAACGAGGAGCATCATCAGTCCGCTCCCGGCCTTTCTCCTGGTATGCGATATGGGGAGACGAGCCTCCTGACGTAGGGTTCGGTTGCGCGCGAGATCTTTGTTCTTCGGAGGGGTCAAAAGCGAGAGGAATCAGGAATTCACCGCCATCGGCTTCGCCATGCGGAGGCACGATTGAATGGCGATTGCTGCGATAGGTGCTTGACGGGAGTATTAGATTGTCTGCATCCGTCAGCTCTCTTTCACCATGAGATAAAGGGTCTGCGCATCATGTCACAGAGGCCAACTGACCTTGGTTTTCTGCCGCGGGACGAGGTGTTGCGCTGGGACCTCTTCCCGCGTCCGGCGCAGGAGCAGCTCGCGCAGGGGTATCCCCGCTGGGCATGGAATAAGCCTCTTGGTCGTCCGAGGCGCGCGAGACTGGTTCCATTTCTTCCGGGGGCAGTGACGGAAGGGACTTATCTAATTTCACCCCCGGAGGTCCTTGTTTTCGCGTGGGGGCCGCCTTTCGTTTTCTCCGCCGCTGCATCAACGACTCATGACAGTCCATACAGAATATACCCTGCGAGGTGCGGGCATAACGCAGGTTCTCGATCTTCCGCTTGCAGTTGCGGCAGCGGAAGCATTGGGCGCAGAAAGCTTGTTCACCAGTGAGGATTGCGAGGTCCTCGATCTTGTTCCCACACGAACTACAGCTGTAGGTACAGTTGCTGCAGATCAACGAGCCATCGCCAAGCAGAAGAAGGTGCGCGTCCGAGTCGAGTAGCGTGCCACAGGTGCTGCAGCAGAAACATTCGATATGCCATCGGTTGCCCGCTAGATCACATGGAAGGAGGCAGTCAGCCACCGGCTCGAAGGCCATTATAACCACGGAACAAGAAACTCACCAAGCTCGAAGGCTTTGCCCTCTTCAAGAATCTATTTCAGCGAAAAGCCCTTCTTAGTGCACTGTTTCCAAGCCTCGTAGTCTGTGCGGTTTTCTGGGTTCATACCTCTCCACAGCCCTTACAGGGGAAGGGAATGTCGTCCTGATCCAAAGGGGACTCAGGATACCCCGGGGATTCCATCTTGAATGCGATTTATTGAGTAGCGAGCGACCGTTCGAAGGTGATGGTGGCACAAACGCCAATTCCAGTAGGTGTGAGAGACAAATCTCCAGGAAGGGAGAGGGAGGCGCGCTCGCGAAACTCAAGCCAAAACCAGTTGAGAGGCTCTTTCGGGTAGTTGATAAGGCATTCGACTTCCGATAAATGAACTTGGTGGTCTTGAGTCGGCAATAATTATGATTGCAGCTATAGAGGGGGGCAAGGAAAGCGAGGGGAAGCTGGACGGGGGGACGAATTCGAGCGCGGCACGGACTTGCTGGAGGGTGGAGGATGGATTCTCATTTACGAAAGGGAGTCTAACGAGAAAGAATTAATTTCAGGACGGACAGCCGATCGATCACGGCCATAGTGGAGAAGGTGGAATAAAGTGGTGAAAGTTTGAGATAATGTAAATAATGTAAATTGGTAGGATGAGAGGGGGGGGGGTGAGTCCTGAACAAGAAATGTTGAAAGTTGCGCTGAGACGGGCCAGGGGTGCGATGAGGAGGGGGGCAAGAGGGGAGAGAACAAACAGGGGAGAAGAGGAGATGTACTGTACCATGCAGCAGCAGCAGGAGGAGGAGCAGCAAGCAGGTAGGCAGGGGGGGGGGCCGCAGAGCTGAATATCCGGGGCAGCCTTAACAACCACCCGGATGTTTCAATGCGTCAGGACGAAACGGAGAGGAGGGGATCGAGTTAAAGGGAAGAGCGTCGAGGGAGAATAAGCAGCGGATGTGCTAGTAATTGTGAGAAGAGGTTAGATCAAGGAGGAAAACAAGAGAAGGAGAGAGGGTGAGTGAGAGAGGAAGGGAGTGAGTGAGTTGAGTACGAGTAAGTACGGGTACGGGGAGTGGGAGAGAGAGAGAGAGAGAGAGAGAGAGACAGAGAGAGGGAGAAAGAGAGTTTGAGGCCGCGATTGAAACACACCACCCGTTTCAGATAGACAACTCATGCCCGTGTCCCCAGATTTTCCCAATTAGCCCACTAACCTACATTCTACTGACTGAACGGTTAGCTTGTCAATATACATCTTGATTAAGGTGAATGAGTAAGGGTAGTAGACTACAAGTGTTAAGTAGTGAATAGTCTACAGATTTGGTCAAATTTGTAGGCCTCCCTGTCTCGTCTCAGGATACGAGACCATCCTGCTACAACAATACAATACTGTACTCCGTACACGGACTGTACACACGCTGCGCAGTGGACATGTAGGTATATATTCGACACCTGAGGCTAACAAGACCACCAACGAACCCAACCAACCAACCAACAGCCATTGGATAGTGATCTATCTATAAATATTTATAGACGGGATTGTCTCATTCCCATTCCAGGTACCGAGATCCTAGTCGTGTGAAATTGGAAGTCGTAACTTTGTAAGGTACTTCCATACTCAGCCACTCCCGCTTCCAGTAACTTGGAACTCATGAGTGCCCAGTGAATCAGACCTGCTCGAGTCGGTCTCAAATCTCCCCCCACTCCGTTCCAGACTTCGGGATTGCCTGTAAATATCCAAAAATAAGCCCTGGCCCACGCGGCTTTACCTTGTCTCGGGAATCAACCCGCCGACCCGGTGAATGATCAGAGCTGGTGCTATAGTCTATAAGTTACCGATTGATATCAAAACTACATACATCAAATCGGCAGTGAATCTCGGGCACATGTATGGGAGTATCTAAGGAGGGAGTGGTCTTTCCCTCCTGCTCTCTTGTACTCGTAGCTTCTATCTATCTACTGCCCTTCTGTCCGTATGCTTCCTTTTCCAATACCACACCGTTCTCTCATCTCCAGCAGAGCCTTGGTGACTTTGTCATAGCTTGGATGCTCAGACTGAATCACGGCCTGTTCATTGAGGAGCAGACACAATGCCCCTCTTCCTGCTCATATAAGAGACCTGACCGTCGCTCCTCCGCCACTATCGACTCGACCATTCTCATTCCCTCCCACTCCTCGCCCTCATTGCTCGAAGGGACCTCGTGTTGCTGACCACAATGCGCAAGGCAGATCAGCTGCTGTCACATCCCACCCCTCCTCACTCTCCTTATCACGATCCCCACCCCTGGAGTTTTGAGAGCGCATCTGTCGCGTATCGCCTACTATTATTCCAGGCGTAGTGTCTTTCCCGAGCTGCGCCCGCAAGGCTCGAAAATAAGGGGAGGTACAAAGAGCGAGGGAGGGCAATCGACCACTTGTTGGAGCCGAGTACTCCTACTGAGGGGAGGGTAATGTGGTGGACTGAAGCCGGGCTCTTCTTCAGTCAAATCTACCTGGCAGGCAGGCTCGTAGCAAAATCGTAAGGCTAGCCGTTGCTACTAGAATTGGAGGATTCGAGGATGCATCCCGCACGTGTGAACTTCTTACTGCCCTACAATTGCCCGAGTAATTGCGTACTGCTATCGTCAGGCACGACACACGATTTTGTCTCGTGGCGCCCGGCTCAATGCACAGGAGAACAGTGGGTCTCGATTACATTCAGGATGGAATTATCTAGTAATACAGCAAGTTTTGTGCCTTTGAGGCGCTCAACATAAATACGGTGGTATCAATTGGAATACAGGACTAAAGAAACAATAACTCGAAAATAATGATACTGGCTCTTCATCTTTCTGAAAGCAAAACATCACTTCCTCGCAATGTAGTATGTCAGCAGGTTGCGTGAGTTCTCGCGAGGCCGTCCAACAACCTGCCAGAAGTGATCATCGTTATCGGCCATCGTGTGCAGTTGTACGCATAGCTGTGTTGCTTGACGTCTGACATCCGGCTGTCGAGCTGTCAGACTCTTGCCAGCTAGTGTCCCAACTTTCTCCAGCAGGCGACCGGAAAGACGAATTGCATTGCTGTTCATCCCCTTCAAGATTTCCGTCATAACAGAGAAGCCCATAGTGACCGCCCGATCGCCTGTTTCCGGATCTTCGGTAGATACTAGGTCGGTTACGGCGTCGATAACACCTTCAGGCTCACACTGTACAAGAATCTCTTCGGCCGTCTCATTCAATCCGTTGATGATGTGGCTTGAAGAGTCGTAATAATTCCTAGCAACAATAAGAGCTGTGATAGCCCTGGGGTAGTAAGGAGAACTGAAGTGCTTGTTGTGTGCAAGCATGAAGCGAATCGTCAGAAGCACTTGCGTTTTCAAGTCCAGCGGGCGACCGAGGCGTTGTCGCTTCTCATCCGGAGGACTCTCCAATTCTTCGAGCAGAACCAGCAGCATCTCGTCATACTTTCCTTCATGGATAAAGATAGAGTCGTGATATTCGATAAGGCCTTGCAATTTCCGATACCCCAGGATGTCCATATTCTTGGACCGAATCTTCTGAATGCCCTTCTCGAGCATTTCTCGTGCTTTGACTGGGTCTTTCGATCGGGGGCTGATACTTCTTTTGCGGTCGGCGATCTGGTCATTCTTCCGGCGAGGATATTCAGAGCTAGCTGTCGACTCTGTCGCCCCGATCGATTGGCGTCCACGATACGAAGGCATGGTTGGCACAGCTGGCTTACTATCACGATGAACTGATTCATTTATAGATAGTTCTGCCAAAGCGCTGTTATTGGATACATGTTGAGGCGTAACAATGGGGGTAACAATGGGCTCGTCGTCTCCTTTATTGGATACATGTTGGTGGGTATGGATATGCTCCTCTTCTTTTTCGGAAGTAATGATAGGGTCTTCGTAAATCTGCACTTCCCTTCCTTTTATGGGCGAGGAAAGGTTCTCACCCAGTGAGGCCTGTCTGCCAGGTTCACCGGATACCTTCTTTTCTTCGGTTTCATGGTTTTCGTGCTGAGTCCGTTCTTCTCCGAGTCGATAGTCTGATTGGAGTCTTTCTGTTCCGAATAGCCTGTCTGCTTTGCCTTCTGTTTCGAGTCGATAGTCTGGTTGGGATCTTTCTGTTTCGAGTCGCCTGTCTGCTTTGCCTTCTGTTTCGAGTCGATAGTCTGGTTGGGATCTTTCTGTTTCGAGTCGCCTATCTGGTTTTCCTTCTGTGTCAAATCGATAATCTGAATGAGGTCCTTCTGCATGGTCTGGGTGGTGCGAATGGGGATCCGAGACGGGGAAATCGGGGAAGGACTCGCTGGGGTGTTCAAATATTTGTCCTTGAGCACCATGAGGCTTCGGGCCGCCGGCGATGTGTTCCTTAGCTGGAGCGCTTGGAGACTCGACTGGGCGGGGGAAACCTTCCTGGACGGAGTCTTCAGAAGCAGTTAGCATGGGTACCACAGTAACAAGGGGACTCTCCGACTGGGCTTCGGCAGGGCTATCATGTTCATTGGGAACAATAGGTACCTGAAGACCCCCAGAGGATTGACCACCCATGTTCTCCTGTAGACCACTGTTCACACGACGTTCCGCAGTCCGAGTCTTGGCAATGTCAAGTTTCTTAGCCTTGGCCTTCGCTGTGCTGGCCGCGGGAACCGTGTGGTGAGCATCCGAGCTCACTTCGGAAGCATTGGATCCTACTGAATGTGGCTCTGCGGTTCCTGGGCGGCTCAGTTCAGGTCTACGAGCCTTGCTCGCAGGACGCATCGGCGCCGACGAAAGGGAAGAAATAGAAGAACCGACGGGCACCGACCGCACCGCAGGCTGGCCACGCTGCAGGTCGGACACGTTTGTGTCGGAGAGTACGGACTGTGCCGATTCTGGACGCTGTTGCTGGATGGGCTTGGGTGCCAGATGCGCCTTCTTATGCGCCGCAATAGCTTCCTGTAGGGCCGAGCGACTTTTGATGGAGGAAGTGCCGGTTGCGACACCCTTACGAGATGTGTTATCGGACTTGGATGAAGTATTCGGGTTTCCAGGGTCCTTTTCGAGCTGGGTCCGAGACTTAGAGTCAAGATTGGAGAGGATTCTGTGCCGCGTTAGTTGAAGTAAACATGATGAGAAGAAGAGTGGTAAACATACTCGTTCCCCTGGTTAGGCCACATGCCAAAGAAGACCCAGAATGTGCCGCGCATCGCCTGTCTGACAGCCGGGTTGGCGTCTGCGAGTCCCTTCTTGAAGGCCTTTTCGAGTAGCTCCAGCCCGCCTCCATGCTCAATAGAGGCCTTATGAGCCGCTTGTTTGTTGAGGATGATTTTGAACCAGTCCGCTGAGAAAAGTCGCAACTGAGTATTCTTATCCTGCGAAGCACCAAAGACGTGTTGCAGGATACGAGGAGTGTAGGAAACATGCTGAATGACAGTCTCTACTGTCATCTTTCCGTTCTGTGCTGTAATTTTCTTCATTCCAGCGCACAGCTTGATGAGATTTTGCATGATGATCTCCATCATGGGATCTATCTTGGGTCCGCAAAAGATGGCCATGTCCTGAATGAATAGGCAGCCATTCGTTGCCATAGTCGTACGAAGGGAATTGACGACCTTGAAAATACCGTCTAGAATGGACTTCAAAGCCGTGATCAAAGTATTTGAGTGGGCGACAGGCGCATTGCCGCGGACCAGTCGGCGTAGCAGCATAACGTTCTTCTCACGCTTTGCCCAATTTTCTTCCGACTCACGTCCTTCGAAGTGAGGAACCATGGCGCGGATTATGTCTTCAATCTCACGCGAGGAGGAAACATTGAGTGGCTCCACGCTATCACTATCGTTGGGCGTCGATGGGGTTGCTGGACAGGAATATTAGCTTCCATTATTGATGCGGGATAGAAGCAAACTCACCTTCGGAAGAGTGCTGCGGAAGAGGGTCTGCCCTGGATACAGGACGTTTAGGTCCATCGACTCTCGACACAGAACGTTGAGAGGAGGATTCTGGTCCACTAAGTCCATCAGCCCGCGAGGTGGGACGTGACTGAAGAGCTTCTGCTCTGGACATTGGACGTTTGTTTCCATCTGCGCGCGACAAAGGGCGTGGATGAGCCTCTAAACTAGAATGAGGACGTTGCGTGGTTCGGTCTGCTCGATGCATGGGTCCTCTATTGGGTTCAAGATCGGCGGGATCGAGACCAATCTGGGCGACGATCGCGTTGACAATTGTCCTTCGTACACTGCGGATGCTAAGCTGATTCATGAGATCCGCTTTTGCGCGTGCCGACGCACCAGATGCTGCGCTGTGGGTTCATTAGTCTCCAGACTAGCTTGAGATCAGATGGATGGAAGCGTACCCAAACAATTCAACTACAGTCAACTTCGCTGCGTCTCGTACGGCCGGGTCCGCATCTTCGAGACAGTTGACAAGCCTCGCCACATACTGACGGAATCGCAGGCCATGCGTTCTAGACATCTACAACAAGAGGGAGGCCGTCAGACCCCCGCCAGATATCGAAGAAGGAGGACCACTTACATTGGAAAGCCAGATCAAAGCCATTTCCCTTGCCCTGGGGTTTCTTCCGACCAGGGCGGTATCGAGAACGTGGTGTTCTACTTCGGCGCTCGCAGCTGGCCAGAGCTCGGTGAATGCTTGAGCGGCCTGTGCTCGCACACGTTCTCTGTTATCGCCTAAACGTTCAAGGAGTAGTGGTTGGAGGTTGCGACTGTAATTTGCAATCAAATGCGGTTGTCGCTGAATGAACAAGCGCCTGGTCAGGTGGCTGAGCATATTAAATGCAGGCGTGATGATGTTGCCATGTGGTGAGCTTATGAAGATCCGCGCCGCCTCGAATGATGGCGACACCGCCGCTTCAGGGACATTCCTCTGTTTGATCTCCGATTTGTAGGCCACCAAAGCACCGATCTTCGCCTCCAGGGATAGGTAGTTGTTTTTGGCAATTTCCACCAGCTCCAAGGCTTTGGCCTCCATGATGGTATACAAAATAGTAAGGAGACGGTGAACTTCGTCCCCAGACAGAGTGACAACAGTAAAGAAAACGCAGAAGGGGACCGCGGAGATACGAAGGATCCAAAGGAGTTCGAGCACAAATCTGCCAAAGAATGACAGAACTCCGCCGGTGTGGTATATTAAGGTGAGGACCGCAGCGGTGACCACCGCTTTCCAGCGTCTATCATCCATGGTGGTTAACAACGTACGGAAACAGCAATCCAAAAGGTGTTTTTGAGTGTTTATTGGGTTTTTCCAAAAGCAGGGCAAAGAACAGCAAGAAAGCAGGTAGAGCGCAGGGAGAACGAGAAGCTGAGAACGCTCGCAGAAACGCTTGACGAACGTGTGTGTGTATAGAGTTGAGAGAGGTTGGGAGAGTTGAAGAGGAGAGGAATCGGGGGGGGGGGGGGGGGGGGGCGCGCGAAGTCGAGGTCATTCATACCTGTGAACAGTGTGCTTCGTGTGGCAGGTGCGCGAATAATTGAATCGTGTAAAGGCAGTCGCAGCGACGAGTTCGTTGGTGAGGATAGAAGGAGCGGATGAGGGTCGGTCGGAAGAGATGCGGTGGTGGAGTTGATGGTGGTTGATTGAAGATGGGAAGGAAGTCGTAACTATCGAGGGGAAGGAGCCTGAGTCTAGGCCGATAAGCGACCAACCGCGGCGATAAGCGCTTATGAATTCAACTCCACTTCGGGGGGAGAGGGACGGATCGATTGAGCCCTGACAAGGAGATTGGTATGTGAAGGGATATCAGCACCTCAAGTGTGACAGGCAGAGAGGAGGGGATTATTTCTAGTTGAGGCCAGGAGGTGGGAAGTGGGGGGGCGGAAGACGTGAGAAAGTGGTGGTTGTAATGATGATTTGTTGTTGTTATTGTCCCTGAATCTTTTTTTTTCAGTTGGCTTTGTTTACCCGCAACGCCGCCGGAGCCCTGGTTGCTCCGCTTTGGGCAAGCCGAGTTGTTATGGCAGCTAACTCAACTTACATATAATTAGGTAGATACGTGCAGTCGCTTGGGTAGTAGTCTATGTCTATTACAGCATGAAGCTGCCCAACCCAAGATGATGCTTTGGAGGCTTGTGCTTTACTAAAGGGTGATCCTCTTCGATAGTATCAGCTCCCTGTTTTCCCTGGCCCTTGTGGTATGGCCTCCCTTGCGGACTCGAAACGAAGGGGTGGGAGACGGGACTGTCAGCTACGCAAGTCCACGGACGGTGCAGGTAGTCGCTCATTGATTCCACCATCTAAGTTTTGGTACTCTGTAGAACAAGACTAATCATTGATGGTCTTTGTGTAGCAATGCATGGTATGAGTCGAAGCCTGATGAGATCTTGCAGGACGAAAAGGGGCGGGGGAAGATATAAACACGAACGCGACTCCGCTCCACTAGTACTACTCCGTACTTATATACTTTCGCATCCCCATAGGTTTTTCCTACACTCAGAAACCACGACACCAGCTGGATGTATCCAAGAGAGAAATATTACACCTGCAAAATGAGTTGCATCACAGTTTTCTCCAAGTTCAGTATTGTGTGTCCCGACCACCTTCCCAACTACTGAATACCATAAGTTCTTGATCGATTAAACTGCAGCAACTCCACCGGATCGACGCGCCGGGGGTGGATCGGGCCATTCTGGCGGCCGACGAACAGACACTTGGACCAGCTGAGCCTGCCATGCCATGGCCGGGCAAACCACAAGCAGAACTGCATGATTATTCTTCCTGGTGCACGGTACATAGACTACAGGCGCTGCATCTTGTCTAGTTCAGCAAGTGGAACCGACTCCAAGTCGGAGGAACAATGGATGGTGGATCCTGTCAAGACCATGCGGCATGCTAATGTTACCGCGTGTCTGCATGCATGCATGATTCAACTAACACTACTAAGAGACCAGGACGGTAGTTTCGCGTGCACGCGCCAATCTTTAGCTTACACAGTAACTATATAACTGACCTGCACAACCGTCCGCTAAATTCTATACTCCGACCACACTCACCTCTATACCAAGACGCTGAATAGCTCACCTCCCACAATGGCCCGAATCTCACCACCACCACCTCCCCTCCAAGCCACTACACTACCAACCAACCTCACCAAACCAGACACCAGCAGCAGCAGCACACCCAACACCACCAACCTCACCTCAACCTCACACCAGCAGCAGCAGCAGCAGGTCACCACTTCAACTTCACCCTCCCCCTCCCCCTCGACCTCCACCACCACAACCCCCGCACTCCCCACCCCCAAACTCCTCCTCCAGATCCACGACCTCCGCCACCCCTCCGTCACCACCTTCCTCACCCTAATCCCCAATTTAGCCTCCACCCTCGAAACCGCATTAACCACCATCCTCCAAACCCTCTACACCTGCCCATCCCCCCCAACACCCCCATCCTTCCCAAAATCCCCCCCCAAAAACCGAATAACATTCACCCCAACCCTCCCTCCGACCCGCTCCATCACCACCCACCTCCGCCCCATCCCGGGCGTCGCCTACACAACAGGCACAGACCTCGACCGGGACCACAAAGAGATCCACCTCTCGCTCTCCTACATCGCGACCTGCACCGAGCGATCCACCCCCTCCACCACGCGCGCCGAGATCGTCGGGGTCCTCACCCACGAACTCGTCCACTGCTACCAGCACACGGCGCCCGACGGCGACGACGACACCACCCCCCACCCGCCCGGGGGCCTGATCGAGGGGATCGCCGACTTCGTGCGCCTCAAGGCCGGGTTGGCGCCGCCGCACTGGCAGCGGCCGCGGTCGGCGGCGGAGCGTCCCGAGAAGTGGGATCAGGGGTACCAGCATACGGCGTATTTCTTGGCCTGGTTGGAGGATTTCCGCGTCGGGAGGGGGGCGGTGGGGTTGGTGAATGATCGGTTGTTGAGGGTTGGGTATGTGGGTGAGGATGACAACGGGGACGGAGAGGGGAAGGGGAAGGGGGAAGAGTCACAAAAACGAGGGGAAGGGTTCTGGCGGGGGTTGTTTGGGGTTGGGGTTGAGGAGTTGTGGGAGGAGTATGGTCGATATCTGGATACCTCGGCGGAAGAAGAACGCTAGCTGGGGACTCGAGGGAAAGGTGAGATCAATCTTGAGTAGAGCTGTGGGATTATATGTGGAGCTGGATGGACAGGCACCTCCATCTCCATCCATTTGAGTCTAAGGTATTCTCGTCAGTTGAGGCACACACTATGAGGAGTATAAAGACCGAAGAGTGAACATATAGAATCCATTGGATTTATTGAGTACATGTAGATTCAGCCACCTGGGTCTCCCAAACAATTTTTCGTCTTTGGTACATTCCACACCCTCCCCCTTCCCATTGCGAATCTCTATTGGTATAAAGAAAAAGGGACGAGCTTTATAACAAGAAAGAAAAATAAAAGAACACAACATGATAGAAAACATCAGATGAAGTAGAAATTCCCGTATTGTACAGAACCTTGCGAAAATTGCGAAATTGGTAGGAATAATATGTAAATGTTGCTTGCCGTCAATTGCCACCTTGACAAGGTCTATATCAAAATGTGACGCCGTTTCCAAACACTGCTCTCATGAACCCCCCCCTCTTTACACAATCACCTCCCCCAGATCCACGTGAACGGGCTTCCAGGGGGCGGCTCCCTCTTCTTCCATCGAGTTGGGCAGACGCACTTCCAGCGGGCTGTACAGGTACCAGGCCTTGAGGGCAGCAACGGCCGCCCGGGACCGGGCTTCAAGCAAACTAGAACCCGCACCCTCGCCCAGCTTGTCCTGGCCGGAGTAGATGCCAACGACGAAGACTGGGTGCCGACTCAGGCGACCGGTTTCACTGAGGATCTTGGCGACTGGGGGCTCAAAGTTCTCACGGGCACATAGGCGGGAAAGATCACGAGCCGGCTCGCGGAAGTTGAACAGATCAGAGATGTTGAGGTGACGGGAAAGGAAGTGCTGCTCGAAGAAACGCTTGGCAGCCGGACGGCCAGCATGGAGGTAGATGGCGCCGATAACAGCGCGGACGAACTGGGAGGCGGCCGCTTCGGGGGTCACGCCTGCAGCGTACCGGTCGGTTGCCGGGGCCTGTTTTCGCGGGTCAACGCTGGCCTTGGTGGGGTCGCCGAATACATCGTCGTAAACGATCTTCGACGTGACCGACCTCCGCCATGTCGTCTGCTCCTCGTAAGTTCTGTTCGTAGCGATGGGGGTTGCATTCGGGTCGACCCCTGGGGCGGCTCTCGTGAACTGCAGGTGGCCAGGGTCGACCTCTCCACCAGGTGCAGCAGCTAGCTCCACACCCCATTCCCTCGACATAGCAGCCAATGTCTTGGGGCCGACATAGGCAAACATGGCGGCGAAGATGACCGTCATGGGAAGACGGGGATATGTGCAGATGAGGTATTCGGAGGTGTACTGGGTCAGGAGGTCATGACCAAGGGTAGCCAAAGACTCATTGTTGAAGTTGTGGTTAGGATCAGCCGATTCGTCCACGAGACAGCGAGCAAGGGTCTCAAGAGGAAGTCGTGAAGGAAGGTAAAGTCGTGCATGGAGCGCAGCGAGTTTCGCGGACTCGCGTGCGGCCTTGACAGGCGGAGAAGGGAGGGAGTGCTTGGTGACTTTTGAGCGAGGGGAGCGAATTGATGCGGGAGGAGCTTGTTCCTCGATCGATTGTTCGGCCTCAGTAGCCGTGGCAGGGATAGAAGTCGTCGTCTGATACCGGATACCGTGTTGTATACGTCGCTGCAGTCTACTTCCAGCCCGGACCTGCGGCGAAAGGACCGAACTGCTCCATCGTTGGAGGTGCAGTCTCTTCATCTGTGCGATTTGTGTGAACTTGACAGGCACCCTAAGCCGAAGAAATGGCGATTGACCGTATATCCAGTTAAGGACTGCGTCGGGGCTTGGGGGGTAGGAAACGGGGGAAGACGGTCGTCCAACGGGCTGTCAGTACGAACTTTTGGTCGCCAGAGAAAAGTTGAGCGAGCAACAACTTCGGCGGAAGTCACGGGGTTTGGGTTTGGCGGTCGTGTGAGAAAGTCGCCCATGGAGCGCTAAACCTATTCCAGACATAGCGTCACGGGGTCTGGGACCGGGACTGGAGGGACGAACGACGGCCAATTCGGCTTCAAACCCGCCAGAACAACGCTTTCCAGCGAGCCATTGTCCAAGTTTTTCCCAACCCGCTCAATTCATATACCTTCAATCACAATGGGTGGAGGCGGAAAGATCCCGTATGTGATGTTTTGATTTTCTGAAGTCCCCCGTGTTGCGCTGACCGATGGCTCGCGCGCAGGTATCCCAAGGAAGTCTGGTCTCCCGCCGGAGGCTGGTATGCTCAGCCCGCGAACTGGAAGCTCAACACCGCCATCATGGGTGCCACAGTGATTGGAATTGCTGCTACTGTCTGGAGCATCAGCGCCGACCGTGAGCACCGCGACAAGATGCCCGAGCCTGGCAGATTCTTCCCTAGTCGCTAGTCAGTTCAACCCAGCCAATCCCCTGTCAAGCGTTTCTAAGCATGTGGTCATTGACTCTATCTCGTCTATATAGCTGGAGCAGGGAAATCATCGAACACGAGAGAAAACAACAAGCCTCGAAGCAGGACTCATAATGTGGTTGACAGGAAATAAGAAGCGAGTGGGATAAAATGCAATTGCGAAGGTCTCCTGTGGCATGATAGGTTTTGTTTTCATCGTTTTTTGAGGGCTGTACGACAATAGAAGGGCGTTCTTCAACCGGTCAGTTGATCTGCGAGTGCTTCTGAGGAGACTCTTCAAGTGTTCGATACAAGCGCTGTGTGTACAGACGGACCCGTTCCGTGAACTCAGTCTCGTTCCAAAGCTCTCTTCCATCGGTAGATGTAGAAATCTGCGGTACGCCAATCTGCTCAACCACAAAGCTCGCCGCTACGGTAGCGAAGACCAGAGCTGATAGGAAATGCTCATGGGCGCTGCCAGCCTTCTTTGCTCTTCGCCAGGTCGTAGATTGCGCGAGCACCGAATCGACAATATTGGCTGGAGCCCTACCCGAGCTGACCATTCCTTGAGTCAATGCTCCCAGGAATGAATTCCCGGCTCCAGTGGGATCGACCACAGGTGACGGCATCGACGTATCGGGCTGGTGGTACGCGGGCAGCCAGAGTCTTTGCTTTCGGGAAAACGAAAAGCTGCCATCTTTACCAGCTCTGATAACGAGATGTCCATTCCCGTCAAGCCCAATGCCCTGGGAAAGAATCCTTTCCACAATAGCTTTCCCGTAGCTTGTCTCTTCGCTCCATCCGGGTTGGCCAAACATCATCCCAAGCTCTAGTTCATTGGGGCTCACGACGTCTACGACTTTTATCGCAGCCAAGAAGGTTTCTTGCTCTTCAGGGGTGCAAAGGTCTGGAACAGGTTCCCAGACGAAGACAGGTCGCTGCGTGGCCGAGACAGACGAGGGCACTTTGCCCTCTAGTTGTAACTGCTCCCGCCGTCGCAAGACTTCCTGCACAATAGATATACAGCGTGACGAGGAACAGACCATATGGAAGGTCTTTGAAAGCACTTGTGAGTCCGATAGCATTGACGGCTCTAGCCGCAATTTAGGTGTCAAGTACTTGAAATCTGGAGCAGCTTATCAGTCATGTATGAGCTTGACGGACAGAAGCAAATGCGAATGCACTAACCCCTCTTTTCGTTCGGCCCGTAGCCATTCCAGGCTCTTGTGGTAAGTCGCCCATGATCTTCTCTTATGATACAATTTGTATCCCAGGATCTGATAACATCTAGAACCTCTGTGGGGAAGTCGGATCCGACATCAACAATCCAGCTCACGGATCGCGCATACTCTTTCCCAGCAACGAGGCGTGCGCCAATGACTGCATAGGATGCAGCGCCACCGAGGACATTCTTGACGGGGGGTCTTGTTCCTTCGAAGTCAATATCGTCTACAATAATCGGTGGGGTGCCAGTAAGTATATATTGGAAAGATGGTGGTCAACAAACGTGTGTAAATTAGCGTACCAAGGATGAACATGCCCAGGGTGCAAAAATCGATCTTGTCTTCAGAAGAGAGCCTATTGTTGCCTGCCATTGTGCCCAGGAGAGAACCGCCTCTATCTCAACGTGTCTATATTTCGGTGTAGTATGCGATGGGCGGGGAGTGGAGGGGAAGTAAGTAAGGCACTATTCTTGTACGAGTATGAGTTCTTCCTTATCTGAAGAAAGGACGGATTGATGACGGGGCTGATACAGCAACGTCATTGCGCAGAGACCGAGCGTTGGCTGCTGGAAGGTTACCGGGCGGTAATAGTGGTAATAGTACAGTATAGCTACGGTAAGCTGTGGCTGGGCCCACCGCCCGATGCTCTAGCCTCAGGCACTGCGGGCCGGGGGGGTTGTTGGTTCAGGGAGCATCCATCACCCATCATCTGTCAATCAACATCATCCCACTGACATCCTCACTCGCAATTGTTACTGCCTTCCACAGCAATTTCCTTCTTCTGCTCAGCAGCCTAACTCTCTCTTTTCTTTCTGCTGCTGCCGCTAGTCATCATTCGAATTGCACAGCTTGCATTCAACCCCGTAGCCTTCTGACCTAGTCTCTCCCTGATTATTCTCCGATACCTACCTCCTTACTTCAACAGGGGCTTTCAAGATGGCATCAGGAAGCCACATGCATAATCTCACAACCCTCATCAAGCGGTACGTTATTGCGATCCAGGCGCCGGATGTATTGGAAATCAACCTCCAGACTTCATTCAATGTCCCCCTCATGACACTGACCATGTATACCTCACCACAGGCTGGAAGCCGCGACTTCCCGCCTGGAAGACATGGCGATGTCGCTGGACGACCCCAACTCGCCCAAGACCATCGGTGCTATCGCTGCGCCTGAGACGGCCACTCCTGAGACTCCAAAGGCGGCTCCTCCAGCTACCCCCGCGGCTCCTCCCGTGCCGCCACAGATCCAGGACTTCGACACACTGATCAACGAAGACGTGCGGGCTTTCGTGGAATTGGGACAGAAGATTAATGGACTGGTCGGCGAGCAGGTACGTTGGGCTATATGACTTAACTCATGTCCCCTCAACTAAAGCGTTTTGTTAGTCGAGAGCCGTTCAGCAGGCCTTCGAAGCCGAGCGCACCTACCTCTACGTCTCGACTAAAGCCAAGAAGCCCGACCAGCAACCCCCGGAGCTCATGACGGAGCTTCACAATGCTTCGGACAGCATCAATAACATCCGCGAGTCTAACCGGGCGTCGCATCTGTTCAACCACCTGAGCGCAGTAGCGGAGGGTATTGTTGCTCTTGGCTGGTTCTTCGCCAGCAAGCCTGCTGATTTCGTCACTGAAATTGTTGGCGGCATCGAATACTATGGCAACAAAGTACTGAAGGACTACAAGGAGAAGTACGTACTCCACCCAAACACCAGCTTGGCACCTTATTAAAATTGCACTCCCAGGGACCGCACCCACGTCCAATACATCCAAGCCTACTACCAAATCTTCAAATCGCTCGCCGCCTACCTCAAGAAACACTACCCCAAGGGTCTGACCTGGAACGACCAGGACGGCATCGACGCCCAAGAAGCCCTCCGCCAGGTCAAGAGCGGCAGCAGCTCGGCCTCATCCCCCAGCGAAAGTAGAACCGCGCCCCCTCCTCCTCCCCCTCCCCCTGTACCTACTATCAACGTCTCAGGCGGTAACGGCGGCGCTCCCCCGCCTCCGCCTCCGCCCCCCGGCGTCCCCCCACCTCCTTCCAGCGCCCCCGGCTCTAGCCCCGACATGTCCGCCGTCTTCGACCAACTGAACCGCGGCGACGCCGTGACTTCCGGCCTCCGCAAGGTCGACAAGTCCGAGATGACGCACAAGAACCCCAGCCTGCGGACCAGCTCCGTGGTGCCCGAGCGGCCCAGCTCGCAAGGCAGCTCCGTCTCCTCGCCCACGTCGCGGGCCCGGTCCCCGGCGCCGCCCAGCACCAAGCCCAAGCCCGAGAGCATGCGCTCGCGCAAGCCGCCGCGCAAGGACCTGGAGGGCAACAAGTGGCTCGTCGAGCACTTCGACAACCCGGGCGGCATCGTCGAGATCAACGCCCAGCAGAACCAGTCGATCCTGATCTCGCGCTGCAACAAGACCATCATCAAGGTCAGCAACAAGGCCAACGCCATCTCTATCGACAACTGCACCGGCCTGTCCATCATCGTCGACTCCCTCGTCAGCAGCCTCGACGTCATCAAGTCCGCCAAGTTTGCCCTGCAGATCGACGGCGTCGTCCCCACCCTGCTCCTCGACCAGGTCGACGGCGCCACCGTCTACCTCGGCCAGCAGAGCCTGGCCACCGAGGTCTTCTCTAGCAAGTCCACCGCCATCAACGTCATGCTGCCCCCCAAGGAGGGCACCGACGACGACACCAAGGAGTGCCCGCTTCCCGAGCAGATCAAGTCCTACGTCAAGGATGGAGTCCTGGTCAGCGAGATCGTCGAGCACGCGGGTTAGAAGTCCCGACTTTCAGCTTACAAACTTGATTCGTTTCCTTCGCGGGTGTGACGACTACCCCTCCTCCGCGACGCTCAGGTTCGATTTGGTAGATGTGGCACAGGGGAGAGAAAAGAAGATCCCTTTTCTCCCCTCCATTGCCATATATTGTAGATAGATCTGTTTCAATTTAAATCCAATTTTTTTGGTGTTGAATATGCTTTCTACCCTGTCTGCTTTGCAGACCCTTGTTTCCTGGAATCATCACAGGTAGAAAAGACTATTTCCACGATAGGCTGCAAGAAGAAGAATCAACTTTGGTATTCATCTACTCCTCGAACAAACGCCAGCGCACCAAAAGAAGTACCGTAGAAGAAGCTGCTATTACATCGGGGCTCGACCCCCAAGAGTATCAAAGAACAGATGAGAGAGTCCCGCCCTCTTGAAGCCGCGCAAAGTGACGGTTCCCTGAGCACACACAGTGGCGACGATTCCAGAAAGGAGGGAATTATGAAAGCTATAGACATGTTGGGTATAGAAAGCTAGTCCGATAGGAGTACTCGTACCCTTTGGGCCGGGTCGGTATCTAGCAAGGGATATAAACGGACACTGATATGATCAGATCGTGAGATGAGCCTGCATCCCATTTGTATGAGCTGCTTGTTAGCGGGGAAAGGGTGTGATCTTTAAGGCATCACCCCAAAAGTAGGGGATACCGGTTGAGGTACACATCGCCTTCGGAGGGAGGCTAAGAGAGCGGAAGAATGTTAGATTTTACCGATCGCGCTGGAACGGTCACAGACCAGGTTACACATCAGCGCTTAGCTCGTCGAGAGCAAATCAGTGGGGATGAAAGTGTTTCTGTCTTTGTACATCCAGGCCCCGTAGTCGCTGTGCAAGGAGACTGTCACCGACTTCGGTTCCACCGGGCGAATAACCGCCGTAGCCGTGCTCGCCCTTATGGAGCTTGCTATAGAGCCCAGCTTTAGTGTTGCGCAGCTCAGCGTCTGCGTAAGATGGACTGACGTGCCTTCTCGTTGGTAGGCGGCCTGCTAGAGGATGTGGCGACGGCTCGCGCCCAACGAAGTTCTCGTCACTTGGAAGAGTGGACACCTCGTGAGTCGTAAGATGCCGTGCGAACGGGTTGCATTGAAAATGAGGCGGGTAGCCCGGATGAGACATCTCGGCAAAGCCGGGAAGTTCAGGCTTCGCAGGATGGCCAGGCGTTGACTTTCGCGACCGCTTCTCGCCCACAGAACTCGAATGTACTGGGTGGGCCTCTCGTGAGGCCTTGTAGGGTGAATAGCGCGGGTAAGGCAGTTGAATTTCATTTCGTAGCTTCTCCTTGCCGTCGGGTACTCGGTTGGCGAAGACAACACGGATACTTGAATGCAGGTAAAATCGACCTTTTGAAGGGCAGCAAATGTTCAAGTGAATCAAGTAACGTAGAATTGGCTTGTCCTTTGGATCTTCCGAAGCATTCAAAGATGCCTCAGGACGATCCGTCCCGTAATTCTTTCGCGCACTCAGGGGCATATCGATTATAGGGCCTGCGGAATAGCTCCGTTGGCGAATGAACGTCTTAGTTCCGGGCTCCATATCAGTGAGGTCATAAGGAACGAGGAACAGCTTGACGGCAGTTTTGTTCGGATTCTTTATCATAACCTGTAATTGGCCTTGCTGCGGGATCCGATAACAGCCGCCCGGCGGCGATTTTGGGGACTCCGCCCTTCTATGCTTTTTCTCCAAAATACGTAGAAGCTCTTGATCATTCGACCTCGAGTCAAGTGGAGACCGGATGTGTTGGTCACTATGCATGCTCCCAGGGCTTTGATGATGGTGTTTCCGGCGTCGACTGTCGCTCAAGGTGTCCTTGGGAAGGGAACTATCAAGGTCAATCATGCCCACATACGGACTGGGGCTATCGTCCGATATTGAACGCCCACATCCTGAGGTGGGATAGCTGTAAAATACGGCAGGGAATGGAATCGTGACATGGGGCGGACACTTAAGGCTGCCTTTACATTTGCCTTTACCCAGAACCCCTATCTGTGCAGTGAAGTCCAGCGGTTTGGAAGGGTTCGTCGACATCCTTCCTCGAAGGATGGACTCCTCGTACGAGCCCACCATGGGCGCCAATGCTCTGGACGAGACCTCGGAGCCAATAGAGGGTCGCCTAAATTTGGAATGCGCTGTCTGAACCGACGAAGCAAGCTGGAGGGTATAACCCGAGGTCAAAGACCGTCTTGGTGGTTGGGACTGATGGGCCAAGGCTTTATTCCATTCCCTCATCGATGAGTCTGGATGAAGATGCGTCTCTCGTCTATGGGTAAAATCAGGAATCTGCATGTCTCGAAAAGTCTCTGGCGGAAGTGTGCGCCGGCGGCTGGCTTTCTCAGGGGAGCCAATATAGCTGAAATGTTCCGGTCGTGGCGAGAAGTCCAGATCTGTGATGTTGGCTTGGTGGACGAGTGGACTCGTGGGTGCTTTGAGAACATAACTTGACGAGAACGATCCCAGCGAGGGGGCACGAGAGCGTGCTGCCGAGTTTGTAGATGGATGTGATGGGACTTGTCGTTCAGAGGCAGCAGGAAACACGGTTGTGCTGAACCACGGGGTAGTTGGAGAAGAGCTGAGAGGCGAGTAGTGTACGTCGTGAGCAAAGCTAGGCGATGCCGGGTCTTGTGATTGTTGTCGAATCTGGTTCTGTGAGCTACCTTCTCGGAAATCCCCAGCGTGTAGGGCCGAACGAGGACGCTCAATATCGGCTGGAGACGCCAGCTGTTGGTCGTCTGAAGGGAGCTGATCACTCGCATCATTTGATTCTATTAGTTGATCCCTCATAGCGGAGTATTTTTGTGAAATATAAGGGGGAGCTTCGTGACTGGCATTCGCCTCTCCCAGCTGTATCCATCAAGTTAGCAGGTATATCATTGCAAACCTTACATAGGTTGAATAAGGAGTTATTTTTCTCGACAGTGAGAGGAGCTGCAGCAAGACTCGACTTTTCAAGGATAACTAGACATACGGAGCGATGGTGAATCCATTTCAAATCGTCGATATTTCTGAACCGCTCTATTGGTTTCCCGCGGTCGTTTGCGTCATATACATCGAACGGCGAGGGACCTTCGGGGTTACTATACTGGTCCCTAGAGGAGGGGCGCAACCCAGAGGAAGAAATGTGAGAGTCCTCCCAGGGAGCTATGGTTCGATTTTGAATCTCTTGACCTGAGCAATGGTCATCAGACCATAAGTCACTGGACCGTTCGGGGTCCATATATTGAAAGATTGGCATGGTCACCGGAAGATGGGACGGACAATGGGAGGTGCAGAAACGGCAAACATCTCAGCCCTAAAGGGTAGAAGAGCTTGCAGGAAAGGGAACAAGGAGTCTAATATATTGGTAAGGGGAAGGATCAGAGCTGTGCTGTGGCACGTCAGGCCGAAGTGGCGGAGGAGTCACCGTGAGGTGGACTGGTGGAGTATGGCCTGGACGGAATTGAATGGATCGACCGCGGGATGAGGCGGTTACAACATGATAAGGTGATGGCAAAGCTAAACCGATCAAGATGGACAGACAAAAGATGAGATGAAGCAGAAGATAAATGAGTAAGTACACAGGCAAAGAATACCACGAAGACAATCAGTAAAGAACAAGATCCACCGCAGTTGAGGGTAACTTGAGGAGATTGCAGCAAGAATGGTGGTGGTGGTAGTTGGTCAGTTGGTAGTAGTACGAGCAAGTTAAGTTAGTAGTCGAGCTCATAAAAAGAAGAATAAGAAGAATGAGGAGAAGCCGCCAGGGGGGGGGGGGGGGGGGGGGCGAAAAGGCGGAACTAATGAATCAATACCCCCCATGACGGTACATGTACAGTAATCCAGACCAACCCATAACTTAACTCACTCTTGCTTTCCCCCTCTCCTTGTCCCACGAGTTCTTCTGGGAATATGACTTGTTTTCTCCTCTTAAGTACACCCTAACTTCTGCCACATTGTGTGCACCCGAGCTATCGTGTCACTTGTCTGTTGGTGACAACTCACAAAAAGAATCCTTGTTACGAGGAGAACTGTACATGTACTGTACCTGACGAGGCCAATCCTGTACGACTCCAACTTTTTCCGGCGGTCGTTGCGGCACGGGATCTTCTCCCCGTTGCTGCTGCTAAACCTTTTTTTTTCTTTTAAGTCCTTTTCCCATAGAAACAATCAGGTGGGACAGCAAAGTATCGCAATTGTTGCCCGATACTTTCTTTCGTACAGCGTGACCTACACCGTCTTAACTTGGCCTTATCACGTCCAATTTTTTTGCTGTCCGTTTGAAAAACCCCGGGCCAGACAGGCACACACCACAAAGTTTCAAGAACCATACCTTAAACATTTTATCACCACCACTATAACCACCACACCCACCATCACCACCCCCAAACAAATCCACCATGGCACCCAAACGCACCCGCGACGAGACCAACCCCGAAGAAAAGCGACCAGCCGCAACGGCCGGCGGCGGCGATGCGCCAGTCAAAAAACGAAAGGGCTTCACCGTCGGCCCTGCCAATCTACCCGATGGCACTTATCGTCGCAAAAGTATGTCGCATTTCTTCCATCCGCAATGCCCCTCCAAAATTCCCGCACCTTTTATCCTCCCATAGCACTGAGCTAACATGCACCCACCCCAAAACATAGCCCAGAAGATCAAATCCGACCTGATCCAAAAAGCCAAGGTCAAGAAAGCGTATGCCAAAATCCGCGACGAAGCGCTGGCGGCGGCCCCGCCCAAGCCTATCTACACGGCCGATCAATATGAAGAAGAAGACGTAGTCGAGCCCGAGCCCGCGTCCGCATCCTTGGAACTGCACCCGGACCGAATCGCGATGCTGAACGAGCCGGAGCCGGAGCCGACGCCCAAGCCTGCTGCTGGTCAACGAGCGGACAACGGCGGCCGCGATGCGCGGGGGGGCCGTCGGGCCCGGAAACCGAAGCCGTCGGCTTTTGCGAAGGAGTTGGAGCTGGCGGAGAAGCGGAAGAAGGAGGTCGAGAGGCGGAGGGAGGAGAGGGAGTTTAGGCAGAAGGATCGGGAGGCTATGGCTCGGGCTAAGAAGCCGGACCAGAGTGGGAAGAGGAGGTTAGGGAGGGAGAGCACCGTGTTGCTGAGTCGGGTGCAACGGATGGTTGGATCAGCGTAAAAAAAAAGAGGCGGAGCTTGGAACAGGGACGCAATTCCTGACGAGGGAGCAAGGACTGGCAAAAAATATGATACCCGCGAACTTATTACGTTAAGAGTTCGAAATTGATTGATTTATTGTACATACTCGGGTGCATGCATCTACGTATGTATGTTGTGTGAGATTATTTTGGACTCATATGCATAACATAGCTAGTGCTGAAAGAATACTCATGCGGAAGCTTTGTGCCCTCCGCCGCTGCGTGGTTTTCTGAAACAAGCGAATTCCCCCTTTGTCCTCTCTCTCAATCGCTTGAGGGTGACCCGCATTTCGCTCAGCTCTGACTGCAGTCGCGCGCGAGCTTCGTGAGTGGTTCGACGGTCCAGTTCCACATAGATTTGGCTCTGGATGGCTGATGCCTCGTCAGTTGAGTATTGGGACATGGTTTGCGCGATGAACTCCGTATCGAGCGTCGCCTGCATCAAAGCGGCTAGCGTATACTGGGACCGTGTGCTGAAGGCGGTCAAAAGAGACGTTGAGATCTGGGTCAACAGATATGTGAGGATGACCGATAGTAGAGGCGACTGTGCGGCCGAGAGTGAACGACTTCCCGTGGTCAACAGGGTGGACGGAATTGTGGTTGTGATTTCTGTATGAACCAATACAAGTGCCAACATCGCGTTATACACATATGGGCGAACCTGCTCTGGCCGCGAGTCACCAGCTGGTTCCCAGTCGGGTCCAGCAATGCTCTCAATGATTGTGGAGTTTAGTTTGTTGATGGTCGGCTTGGTGTATGATTGGAACAAACGATCTTCTATCTGGCCGAGTACATCCCGGATAGTCGTTGCCTCTTCGGTCAATTTCACCGAGAAGGAGTTCTCAAAGTATGCAACTAGCTGAGGAACAAGGTCGGCTTGGAAGGCCTTGATGTTCGATAAAGTCAACAGCAGGCGCACATTCTATATCACAGTCAATTTCCACTAAAGCAGTTGGGGAAAGGGCCAGGGCAAGTACTCACACGATCACGAACATCCACCGCGTCTGCTATAAGCAGGGATGTTGCTGGATCAGTTGTGGTTCTGGTGATTGTCGGTCCAGCTAGAACCCACTCATCTTCCCCGTCTGTAGATGCGGGATGTTCCGCATTCTCGACGAGTCCACTGAGAGCTTTGTAGACGCTCGACACAAACTGGCCGCGCACCATGAGCAACAGCTTTGTAGATGGCTGTGTAACGATATCTACAGAGCCCGCCTTCACCATAGCTTCCGAGATATAGAGTATCCTTTGCATGCCACTGATGATGGCATTCTCAAAGGAAACGAATAGGCCAGGCATCTTCGTAAGATCCCTTCTTTCCGGGTCTCGTGTCCAGTCTTCAAGCATCTTGCAAATTTCGGCATCCTTGCCCCAGGCCGCGCAGGCCACACGCACGGAGCGCTCACGGGCGACACTCACAAGCGACTTGAGTAGATCGTGAGTATTGCCGCTGCTCGACACCGGCTCCAAAGCGGCCATTTCACTAGCCGCTGTTCCAATTGTTACCAGAAATTGACTGAGATAATGCACACCGCTGACAGAATTTGAAAACGGCGGCCAGAAAGCATAGTCTTCCCAATATTCCCCGCGTTTGGGAATAGGAAAGGGCATGTTTTTGGGGTCCAGCTTGAAACGCGATTCTGTAGGAGTCACTCCGAGGCTTCCTGGGCTGTTGGGACTCGCTGCGGAGATCGGAGATGTGAGGAGAGACACATCATCCACCGGCGGGTCAGCAAACAGGGACAGTACACTCTCGCGAATCAAGTTGATAAGCTCAACGGCGCCTTTCTGCAGATCCCTCACATCACTGGAGGACAGCCGATGGTGCTTACGGCTTTCACCCTCAAACCCGGCTGGTAAAAGCTTTTGCTTGCTGCCGTCGATGAAGGATTGCGCTACCTCCCAGAAATCGAAAACTTCACCAAGAAGACCCCCTTGAGAAGATAAAAGCCTGGTCAAGTAGGTATTGATGCAACCCCACAACTCAATCACCTGATCAGTATCTCGCATTGACTCGTTTTCTTTGGAATTATCGCGTGGCGCGAGGCGTAGATACGAGGCCACTGCTTGAGGTGTTGGCTTCTCACCGCTAGCAAGCCGGCGTCTCAAGATCTCTATCTCTGATTTGCAACGCTGACAGAAAGCTATGATCTTAGTCTTGAGAAAATCATATCGGCTAAGAAGCCAGACCCAGATAGGATTGTCATCCACCCCCAATTCTAGAAGAGCACATATCAACTCCATGTGCTCCTCGACTGGACCCGTTGCTGTGATGGTCGTTGATGTTGTAGGCGCGTCGCTCAAACGCCTCCACAGATCACGCTTGAACGCTTGGATCTGCTGGTCCACATCTATCCACATCCTTCCCATGGCCAAGATAACGTGCGTTTCCTCATCGGTCAGTGGCCGGTCCCTCCCTGTCGCGGTTTCGGCGATGTTCTTGGCGGTCTTCGCAAGAGAGCGTGCTTTGCGAAATTGCTCAAAAACGGAATCATAATCTCGCTGCTTGATTGACTTAGACAGTTGCCCTCCGATCTCGTAAATATCCCGGTGCTTTTCCATCATTTCCACCACTGATTTCAGCACCTGCTCTCTCTCGCGACCGCCCAAAGCTGGCCCCCACACCTCCTCAGCCTTAACGGACGCTTCCAGCAGAGGCACTCGGATACCCTTCATGCCGTACTCGCTCTCCTTGGTGAGAGCATTCTTTCCGGGTCCAACCTCTGTAATGGCGGTAGTGGAGATGCTGTGCCTGCTGCCGGAAAGGTTTCGGAAATGTCCAACCGACCTGCGGTGACCTTGGGGGCTTAACAGTTCCTCTTTCTGACCTTGGGTTTTCATTTCCGTATAGACACTATCAATCGTGGCCTTCGCTCGGACGAAGCGCTCAAAGTTTGCTTCGACGAGGACTTTCAGGGATGCGGACTTCTGGTCGATGGATCGGGAGAGACAATCGAGGCCATCGAGGAGGGATTGTATCGACGCGTCGGAATGTACTTGAGAAAGAAACAGTGAAGGGGAGAACGAGGTTGAAGAGAGCAAGAATTGGTTTCGCAAACGGCTCTCTTCGTCCAGAGATAAGCCTCGAGCTTTAAGGATCTTGAGCACGCTGTCGCCCATTCCAAGGGGGTCCGGTTCATCCACCTTGAGATTCTCCCGCCCATTATTGCCTTTAAATGAGCCCAAGGTGACACTCTTTCGAGTGCTATTATTGCGCTCCAAGGCGAAGTAGCGAGACCGTTCCGAGCGAGAGCCGCGGCGTTCCAGCGCCTCGGCCTCCTCCGGATCGCTTTCGTCCAACTCTGTGGGCCATTCTTCAGGATAAGCCGATGGGAGATTATAGTAACTGGCCACGTCGACCTCGGCCATGGTGAGGACGAGCGGGATCACCGAGGGAGGAGGAAGGAGGGTGGTGAGGAAGAGGTAGTGGTGGTGGTGGTGGTGGTGGTCGTCGTGCTAAACGTGCGACAGTCTAAGGAGAAGACAATTAGGCTGTCACAGCGTCATACAGTCACACGCAGCTGTACGGTACAGATAGTCTAGATGAGGTGGAGCAAGAGTAGAAAGAGAGAAGTCAGATTTCCTAAGAAGGCAAGGATAACAAGAGTAGTGGATAAAGCTAAAACGTGCCGTGTTTCCCAGCATTAGGTCATTAGATTAGTACTGCATCACCACCTGGCAGGCCTGACAAGGGACGGTCGGAATACGTAGGAGGTACTGTACGAAGTAGTCTACTAGTTCAGTTATCTGATCGTGGGTCCAGTTGGCCAAAACAGCAAAACAGCCAAACAGCCAAACGGCCAAACGGCCACACGGCATGCCTGGATGGCTGCTGGTCTGGTCGGACCGGGAGCGGCGCTGCCGAGACTGGGCAGGGAAGGAAGTTCACACTCATTCAGGTTCAAACTGCTTCCACACAGCAAAGCCAGTCCGCCCGCACCGACCGCCCGTGCCCGCCGCCTTTCCCTTCCCATCCTTCCCATCTCCTCTCCTCCTCTCCTCCTCTCCTCCTCCTCTCCTCTTTCTCTCCTCACCTCTCCCCTCTTTCTTCATCCAATCCTTCCTATCTTATCCTCTCACCCGTCCGTCGTTGTATTCTCGGGGACCTGTCACAATGATCGCTGCTAGGAACTTTGTCGCTCCCGCCCGCCAATGCTTGCGGACCACACGTGTGTCCCCTCGCATTGCGTCGCCTCTCTCTCAGGTAAGGATCGGACAGAGCCTTTGTCCCGATCCGTCTTGGGACAAGCTAGTTCTTTGAAGCTGACTATCTGTATAGCTTCGCTCCTACTCCGCCGCTGCTGACGAGCGCGTCGCTAAGTTCAAGGGACAGAAGGGTTCTGATGTATGTCGCGCTCCGGGCCAACCGCCTGAACTTTTTTTCCCCATACCTGCCCGTCCATGTCCTTTGGTCCGGCAACTTCCGCCGCGATCATCGACAGTTCCTCCTTTCTCCCTGGCTTCGCAAACAATACTATACGGAATTCTATCTAACCATGGCTCTAACGATTTGGTTCTAGGGAAAATACACTGTTACCCTGATCGAGGGTGATGGTATCGGCCCCGAGATCTCCCAGTCGGTGAAGGACATCTTCGCTGCCGCTAATGTAAAGCTCTCCCATTCTCGACCATCTGTGTGTCGCATCACCCAATACTCACCAGTATCGCTATCTAGGCCCCTGTCAAGTGGGAGCCCGTCGATGTTACTCCCATCTTGAAGGATGGCAAGACCGCCATTCCCGACGAGGCCATCAAGAGCGTGCAGAAGAACTACGTTGCCCTGAAGGGTCCCCTCGCTGTAAGTTCGCATTCCACGGTGGCTACTATAGGAGCATTGGCTAATAAGCACCCTTAATAGACCCCTGTCGGTAAGGGACACGTCTCTCTCAACCTCACCCTCCGTCGTACCTTCAACCTCTTCGCCAACGTGCGTCCCTGCCGCTCCATTGCCGGCTACAAGACCCCCTACGACAACGTCGACACCGTCCTGATCCGTGAGAACACCGAGGGTGAATACTCCGGCATTGAGCACGTCGTCGTCGACGGTGTTGTCCAGAGCATCAAGCTCATCACCCGTGAGGCTTCCGAGCGTGTCCTCCGCTTCGCCTTCCAGTATGCCCGCTCCATCAACAAGAAGAAGGTCCGTGTCGTGCACAAGGCCACCATCATGAAGATGTCCGACGGTCTCTTCCTCAATCTCGCCCGCGAGATTGCCAAGGAGTTCCCCGACATTGAGTTCGACGCCGAGCTCCTTGACAACTCCTGCTTGAAGATCGTTACCGACCCCGCTCCTTACAACGACAAGGTTCTTGTCATGCCCAACCTGTACGGTGACATTCTTTCCGACATGTGCGCCGGTCTCATCGGTGGTCTCGGTCTGACCCCCTCCGGTAACATTGGTGACGAGTGCTCGATCTTCGAGGCTGTCCACGGATCCGCCCCCGACATTGCTGGCAAGGGTCTTGCCAACCCCACTGCTCTGCTCCTGAGCAGTATCATGATGCTTCAGCACATGGGTCTCACCGAGCACGCTGCTCGTATCCAGAAGGCCACCTTCGACACCCTTGCCGAGGGTAAGGCCCTCACCGGTGATCTTGGCGGTAAGGCCAAGACCCACGAGTATGCCGAGGCCATCATGTCGCGTCTGTAAGGGATTCAGCTACGATTGTACTATTCCCTCTTTATACCTTGTTCTTTTCCTTTAGCCTGTGAATGACTAGACTAAATGTGTACTCAAATTTCTATATGTCCCTCAATGTATGTAGATGCTATATTCTCTTTGTCTTAAAAGGCTGTGATATGCTTGGGTGCATGTATAATGACAGTGACACTTCATGATATTTGTGGTTAATGTTGGGCAGCATGATCAACAACCCGATAAGAATTCATGGATACCACCTGAAATGCGGTGATACCGAAATAGGCAAAGGTAATCGTACAACGATAGACAAACCCCAAACGCCAGCTCCTAGCTCCAGGTATCAACTCTTGCAGTAGTAAGAAAACACAATCATGCGCACCTAATGGCCTTCAAGCCTGTCGTCTCCGGCCGCCTCTTCTCGTGCCTGTTCCTGCGCCCTTTTTCTCCTTCTGTTTCGACCGAGACGTTTGCGCCCGCGTGCTCCGTGTCGTCGGCGAGCCCCCAGCATCGCCATCGGCCTCCTCATCCGGATCGCTATCGTCCTTGGCCCCGTCCGAACCGTCCTCATCACCTTCATCCGACTCATCGCCCGACTCCCCTTCGTCCTCGCCATTGCCTGAACCTTTCCCAACAGTCTCAATCTCAACCTGCAGTCGCGATGAGCGCGTACCACGGCCCCCTTGCCGTCCACCACGACCGGGTTTCCTTCCTCGCGAGGGCGCGGGAGACGAGCGGGGTTCTAACTCTCCGGAAAGGGACAGTCAGTCAACCTCCATCAACGGGGACATAGAGCTTCACAACGCGCGCCCATGTCGGGACCCAAAACTGAGAGGGCTTAGGATTCATTGGAAACCAAAACGTACCATCCGTATCAGCTACCGTGCTCCCTCTTCGCGAATCCACCGGTTCACTCGGATCCGGCGACGGAGATCCCTCCATCGCCAGTCTTCGCTCGAACATCAGGTCACCGTATTCGTCCTCGGGCAGCTCGAATGGGCAATAGAACTCCTTTGTGCCATCGACGTCATCGGGGATATCGGTGATCAGGGAATCTTCCTAGAACGCACGTCAAGACAATTGAGTCAACCTCTAGTAAAAGCCGTGACGCGCCGGGGGGTAGGCGCATCACACAAGTCAAGAGACTTACACGTTCATCCAGAGCTGGTAGGTTGTACAAGGTGCCTAGCTTTTTCCAGATCCCGGGGATTCGAGTATGTTCGGCATTGGCGGGCGCGTATCCTTGACTCTTCATGAAGTCCGAGATGGCGATCATGCGGAAGTGTTTATGCATGCCTATCAAGGTGGCGGTGCGGTGGCAGCACACACAAGTCAGCCCAGAGCATATTCGCAATTGGCTTTTGGAATTCTTCGAGGGGAAATCGTTGCGGGCCTAACGTACCGACGGGCTTCCATTTGATGATCCCCTTCAACAATGCTGTCTCTTGCTCATCTGTCCAGGGGTCTGTGACTGGGTCGTAGTCGGCGGGCGGTTGGGTTCCCCCCGGGGCGGCAGCGCTTGCGGAGGAGGGTTCTGTGGTGCCACCTGGGGGGGTGAGCTTGGCTTTCTTTCGAGGGGGCATAGTGATTATTGGTGTGTGTCGCGCGTGTGATGAGAAGTAATTAAGCGAGCGAAAGGAACGGTTGGAGAGGGGGTAGTATCGCCGTGATTTGGTCGATTGAGCTTCCTTGTAGCTCTCAATGTCCGGAGATGCACGCAACAGCAGGTAAGCTGCGGGCGAACCTGGAATTCAATTCAAGGTTCAGTTCAACTCCTCTCGGTTTCCCGAACAAGCGGTGGCCCGGGCGTACCTTAGCCTGGGGGAAACTAACCCGTTTCAGGTAACCAGCCTATTAGTGAGCCGGTGATCTCGCGCTGTCAGTCGGAAACGCGTCGCAATTTCCCCGACGATGACGATTTGTTTGGAGCAACCCTTTGCTCAGAGGCCGTTGCGGTGTGCGGTTTGTTTATTCGACCAGTGACAATGGACTCGGAGGAGTGTGTCAGGGACCCGTTCTCGAGTGAGGGTCTGTGGAGACTCTCCGAGTTCACTCTGCAATGTCTGCAGCCGTTGGAGGCCCTGCCGTGGGATGAGAGGCTACCAGGTGTGTACAATTGTTGCCGGCACGGTTGCGCGCAAATGGACTAACCAATTAAAACATTGATTAGATCTCTCCGGCGGAGTCTTCAAACTACCTCTAGACATCTTTGACAAGGTTGCGCCTCGGATACCTGAGCTCGATGTTTTCGAAACCAGCTTCGGTGACCCGGAACCACCACTGCTACCGACGTTAGACACCTCGAGCGAAAGCCAGTTCGAGACGAGTTTCGATCACAACGAGGAGACGGAACAAACAGAAGATGGACACCAGCCTATAGATGACATCTGGGCGCCGGATAACATTCTGCCGAACCCTGACCATGAAGTCTCACTTAATTCCTGGGAGAGGTTCCTTGACCGAAACCACCGTGAGCAAGTAACCGCATATTTCAGCGAGTCCGGCGCCAAGGGCTTCGACGCGGCATTAGCACATCAAGCTGCCAAGAACAACAGCCCAGAAAGACATCTCATTGTTCGCAACGGTGTCTATTTCCAGGCCTTGTTTCGACTCGGATTGGGCTGGGGTTCCAGGTTCTTTCGCTACAATGAACAACATAACACATTCGAGGTCGTGCACGACAATCTTCGCATCTCCGGCCTCACTTCTGCTGCACTCAAGGCGGTCACAACTGATTTGATCGGGTACGGAACCAGAATGCAGAAGATTCGACGCTTTGTAGACAGGATTCCTGTCAAGTCGAACGAACTATCGACGCTCAGCGCTTTCTCTAGCGCAGCAGCGGTCATCACCTATACCCTTGAAAAGCAACTCGCCAGACATGCCAGCCATATTGCTTCACTCCTTCAGATCAAGAGCCTCTTCGCGCAATGTGGGGATCTCGTGCACGTGCTAGCGAACATGGTTGACGCCGTCCAGGGAGCAGTATCCGAGACCCAGTTAATCTCCATTGTCCTTGAACGAGCGGCCCATTTCTCGCAGGTCTTTGGCCAGATGGAGCCTCTTCTGCGACAAGTTATCGCTCGGGTTATGGAACCTTGGCTTTCTTATGTGGAGACTTGGGTGGGTTTCCAGCCGGAGACGTCGACTTCGATTGAGCTCGCGTCCAGCGGGAGGACCTTCGTGTTTCGCGAGACAACGGATAAACACACATTCTCGTCTAGGGCGACAACAGTCGATTATAGTTTCCTTCCAGATATGATGCCATCCTTCGTTCCTTCGGACCAGGCACAGCTTATCTTCGAAACTGGACGGAGTTTACGGCTTCTCAAGCGAAATCACCCACAACATCCCATCGCAAGCCACGCGACCTATGGGGCTGAGTCAGTCAAGCTTGACTGTGCTGGCACCTGGTTTGATATCGAGAAGATCCAGAGAAAGGCATCTGAATATGAGGCGCGGCTGCGTGCTGCAATCCTGAAATATAACCGAGGGGAACAGCTCGACACACATGCCGCTGCAACGTCACTTGCCCCGAATCCCGAGATGCACAGCGAGACTGACGGAGCGTTCGAGTTGCTCGACATCGACAAGGCCTCGAAGACAGCGGGCCTCGTGCCAGACGATGCGGCTCTATCGCAGAGTCGACTCGGACGCCTGATCGAAGAAGCTCGCCCACTTCATCTCGAGTCCCAGCACACCCAGAGCCACGAGCTCAGCCCCGAATTAACATCCACACCTTACTTGTCCCTCGCGCCGTTCCTCTCCTCTCAAGCCATTCTCATCGACTATTCCTGCCTACACATGCTCTTCAAAGAACACCACCTGCGCACCCACCTCACCCTCCAATGGCGCTTCCAACTCCTGGGAGATGGCTTCTTCACCACCCGCCTCTTCCACGCCCTCTTCGACCCCGAGATGACCAGCGGCGAGCGCAAATCCGGCGTCGTCCGCACCGCCGTCCACACCGGCCTTCGCCTAGGAACCCGCAGCCGCGACACCTGGCCCCCCGCCAGCTCCGAACTGCGCCTCGTCTTGATCGGCCTTCTCGACGAATCTTCCTCCTCCTCAACCACCAACACCACCAACCCCACCAACAACCCCCAACCCAACGACACCCTAAGCTTCTCAATCCGCACGCTCAGCCCCGCCGCCACCCAACGCGCGCGCAACCCGCACGCGCTCGAAGCGCTCGACTTTCTCCGGCTAATCTACACCCCGCCCACCGCCGTCCTCGCCACGATCCTCACCGCGAACGCCCTCACCAAATACGACCTCCTCTTCAAACACCTCCTCCGCCTCCAGCGCATGGTCTCCGTCGCGACGACGCTGATCCGCGACGCCACGGCCCGCACCTCCCTGTCCGGCGACCCGCACAACATCTACCAGCGCTTCCGCGTCGAGGCGCAGCACTTTGTCCTCGCCGTCGCCGACTACTGCTGCCACGTTGCCGTCGGCGCGGCGTGGACGCGCTTCCAGGACCGTCTGGCCCGCGTCGAGGCGTGTCTGGACCGCGGGGACATCGACGGCGCCATCGACGCGGCCGGCGGCTCGGTGCCGCGGCTCCGCGAGATGCACGAGGCCATGCTGGACGAGATGCTGCGGGCGATGATGTTGAGCGGCGAGGCGGAGCTGGAGCTGGCGCTGGAGCAGTCGGATCAGAGCTCTGCACGAGAAGCACAACACGATGACAATCATCATCAACTGGACAAGGCGAGGCGGTGGCTCGAGGCTTCCTTCACTTCGATTCTGGAGTTCGCGCCTTTCTCGCTGGTCGATGGGGCGGACGGGGTGAGGGGTCCCCAGGCCGTGGAGGAGGTGCGTCGCTTGTATCTCTTGTTCCGGAAACAGGTCGCGGGGTTTCTGGCATGTTTGAGGGGGTTGGATGGTGGTGGTGGTGGTGCTAGTGGTGTTGAGCCGCTGTCTTCCTCGTTTACTGCGCGGAGAGCGTGGGGGAGGGAGGGCCCGACGAGCGTGTTTGATCATTTGCTCGCGCGGTTGGAGGTGAAGGCTTACTATTGAGGGCGGGATCTTTTTGGGGGTTGGCGGGTCTGCGACGATGTAGGGTTATATCTGAATTGGGTATTGGAGAGCTACTACGAGTGGATGTGGGTGTATCTAGCGAGGTACAGTACATATTATCATAAGATGAGATGCATGGTGGAAAGCCTCTAGCTGAGTAAAGCGGCTCAAACTCGTTTCGGCTGGGTTGCCTAGATGGACCAGACAGGGTGGAACAACCTAGTATCTCGAGTGATATCTACTGAAAACATTTGAAATGCCGGTATGTGTGCATCTATTATAACAATACCATATTTACAAGCCACGGACATATGAATGTAGTGTCTACCATACCACACTAGCCCAACCACGAACCCCGGCCACAAGGCAAAACCGACCAAGAATCAGAAAAAGTGGAGGTCGGACTCCGCCCACCCTTGCGCCAGCAGGATCCTGCGGGCCGACTTCTCCATGGCCTCGGGGCCACAGACCAGCACCATGCTCTCTCCGTCGTTGACCGCGAACTCGCGGAGCATGTCCTCGGAGATGCGTCCGCGACGACCGGTCCAGCTATCGGGCGCCTGGGTCAAGGTGTGGACGATCTGGCACTTGTTGTTGTCCACCGCCGCAAAGGCGTCGAGTTCCGTGCGGCACAGAATATCCTCCTCTTGTCGGTTGCCGTTCAGGACCACGCAGGTGGTGGGGTCCGCCTGGTCCTGCATCACCGCGCGCAGGACCTGGAAGACGGGCGTGATCCCCGTGCCGCCGCAGATCATCTTGAAGGAGCGCACGGCACGCTCCTTGCCGCTGACGAGGACCTTGCCGTGGCCGAGGTACTCGAATCGGCCCGTGGGGCCTTTGCAGTCGATGGCCGACCCCAGGGGAAGCTTCTCCAGCGCTGTGGTCATCTTGCCGCCTTTCTGGGTGGGGGTGTCGAAGTAGATCTTGACCAGCAGATCCATCGTGCCCTTCTGGCTGGTTTCTGAGATCGGGGTGTAGGAGCGGAGGATCGATTCCGTGCTTGATGCTGGGTCCGGTACCTTGATCATGAGATGCTGGCCGATGGGTAGACCCAGAGTCTGCTTGTCATGCTCTAGCTGGAAGGTGAAGATACGCGTGTCCCATGATACTTCGGTTTTCTTGGTGAGTGTCATCTTCGACCACGCTCGTGATTGGAGGAACTCGGCGCGTGGCTCGCTGGATTTCGGTGCGTTGTCATTCTTAAGTGCCTCCAGGGAGGCCTTGTCCATCGTACCGATGTGATAGTCGGGCATCATCTTCTTCGCAGTTTCACTGTCTATTGGCGGGTTAGCGTTCGAACGGGTGTTGTGAGGTACTAGTCTGACTTACGGATTGCGAGAAAATCCTCTGATACATCCAGTCCGGCGGATGAGATGATGCTCTGGGCCCCACCAGGATGGCCTTCGAGAAAAGCGGTGCCGTCGTAGACTTCGCCATTCACAACAAACCAAGGCTTTTCCTCACTGGAATTGCTCTTGAACTCTTGCAGATCGATCACACGGGTCATGCCTTCTTTCTTCATGTTGATCTCCTTCTCGACCTCAGGCACTGCTGGCTCTTCTCCTTCGTGACGCTCGCCCCAGTTGCCATTCGCCAGGTCACCTCCCGCCTTCTTGACACGCTCCATCCAGCCACCAGGACCAGTAGGATCAGTCGGATGCTCGAAGAAGAGCATGCCATTCTCCTTTGTGATGCTCACTCGGAACCAAGGATTGTTCATCATTCCTAGAACAGACCAGTACATGTCACGTGGCTGGATACTTAGGGCTTCGTCCATTGCCCGGACGAGAATGGCATCGGTGTCTGCAAGCTCAGGTATGGCAATATCAAGGGACCAGAAGATCCAGCAGAAGCATGTTTCACGCCAGGACATGTCTACTTTGCCACCAAACAGATCGCCTTCGAATTCGCGATATTTATCTTCAGCATATGTGATGTCCGCTAACCGCCACGCTGAAGAATTGTTAGCTTCATCTGACATGAAGACTGGCAAGTGAGGACCATACTTTTGCCTTTATCAAGAGAGATCTCGACACGTGTGATTCTCCTTCCACCTCCTGCATATGCGTAACCCTTTACAGTGTACATTGGTCCAGCCAACGAGAGATCAAGCATCTCCTTATGCTGAGGGTATACTACAGAAGAGTTGACGTTGAGATCGTAGATTGCATACCGGTCATCACGCCACCAGTTAGGATCACTGGCAGACATTTCAGGTGATACCATTGTGCTGTTGATTGTTAGACAACGAGTCTTTCCTCGGGAAGCTGCCTGACTTACGGTAGAACTCGGTTATCATAAATATGATACCAGTTGTCACTTGGCGTATCGGTGAGGATCAGCTTCTTCAGCCACTTGACACTCCGGCCACCGATTTGACCGGGTACAACAGCCCTAAGAGGGCGACCATGGTCTGGACGAAGGGACTCTCCGTTCATCTTATGGGCAAGCATGATTCCCCGATTAGGGTCCATGGCCCAGTTGAGCTTGACAGATGTACCGTAGTATCCATTGGGCTACCATATTGTTAGACACCAATAGTTTACGGCTGCTATGGAGACTTACCAATTTGTCCGCACCCTCCATGCAAACGTACTTGGCCTTTCGAAGAGGCTTAGCACTGCGCAGAATGTCCGCCATCATGGGACCGGTCCAGAGCGCCGTTGACAATCCCGCTGAGCCCCATGAGAAACCCTTGGATTTCCTTACGGTGTTCTGTTCTTTGCGTCTATTTCCGGCGCATACCATGGTGATGGGGGCAGTGATCTGGTCGTATTGCTGTAGTACCTGACGGAAGTTCAAGACTAGCGGCTTCTCCACCAGACTTCATCAATTGTCAGCAGATGATTGCCTGTATTGTCGTGAGATATGGTACTGACCCTTCAATACTGATCTCCCAGTTGGGAATGTCTTCGTCCTTGACTAGAGGGACAGGCCCGTGATTTCTGACATAGAATAGTTCCGGAGAAGTCAAGAACCCTTTGTGTGTCTATCAGATTGAGACATTCCATGGCCAAGGCCTGATGCTGGGAGCCACTGACCTTCATTATACAATGCAGTAAGTGGCGGCTCAACGTTGAACGGATGCACACCCGTTAATCGAATCAGACGAGGGTCGCGAGGAACGTGGTAATCAGGCGTCGGCTTGTCCGCGTTCAGAACCTCCGTAGGCTCTTTGGATGGAGGCGGTAAGGGTATATCTGCGAGTTCAACCCTCGAGAATTCCTCCTGCTCTACCGTGATGGGGCCCGACTTGAGCGGTACAGTGAGGATCTCCGCCCTCACTTCTGTGACTGTCGTCATATTGAACTGGTACGTTCTTCAACGCAAGGGCCAGACAAACGGCCAGAGTACGAGCAAATATAGATATACCTGGGTCAGGGCTCCAACACGCCCGAGGGTCCGGCAGGATGCCTGTAAGACTAAGAAGTAGGGAATGAGAGAGCCTCGGGCAGTCAAGACCAAAATAATCGGCAGTACTCCGGGCAAGATTTGGGATCCTAGGGGGGAAAACTATAAGATCCGGCATTTGAATTAGCTTAAGCAGCAACAATCAGCCTGCGGGATCTGGTCTACCCACGAAGCACAGGGCAACAGTCTCGCTGGCTGCGAATAGTTGCACGGGGCCGGGAAGGGATATTTCCGCGGGGAGTCAGAGTGAGGTATAACCAGGCAACAGAAAGTGAAATGGCAGACACGGGAGAAAGACGTAAGGAGCAGAGGAAGTCTACTTCGAATTCCAGTCCTTGTTCGCCTCCCAAGGCAAGCTTGTTCTGGTCTGGCGCATTCTGGTATAGTGGATGAAAAAAAAAAAAAAAAAAAAAAAAAAAAAAAAAAAAGACGATACAAAAATCCCCTAAAATCAGACTATACCATAGTCTAGGAATAATAATGATGATTAGGCGAGAGGCAAAAAATAATAAAATGAAATACAAAAAAAGAAAGGGTAAAAAAAATCCCCGATGAGAAATCGAGCGAAAAGAAGGTCCATTTTGGCCGCGGAGAATGAGACGAGAACCAGAAAACAAGCGATGAACAAGGCCGGTGCCGGACGGTAAGTAGTTTGAGATCCACCGGATCCACACCCAACCCCATCGGACTGATTACGAGGAGGTGTGAGGTGTCGAGGCCGGATCTGACATCGGAGGACCGATTCGGCCGTAACTAATCCGTAAGGGATGGGCAGATGGGCCTCAGGGCTCATTTGCGTGCGCCATTTCCATCATTGCCATGCATTGAGGAAGAAGAATGTTTGGAGGAGACGGAAGTAGAGAAGCGAGAGCTGCATAAGTCCATCTGACTCAGCATGTGCATATCTTGCACAATGCTCATGCACCCAATCCGGTGGATCATCTTGGCTTATCAGCATTTCCGATAAGCATCGGGACTATTGTTGGTAAGACCATCACGATCCTCTATCTTCACCCGACTATCAATCATAATCTCCCCATCTCCCCCATCTCCTACCCTTTCTCCGCGGAGACATGCAAAGAAACAACCCTCTCTTCCCTCATCGCCCCAGCTTCACCTCGCTGGGTCCAGAATGGTATCTGAGCGCTTGCTTTCCCCCCCGCCCCCCCCCTCCCCCCAGTGCCTTAATCCTTATCCATTCGCTCTAATATCTCCGATCCACGGCTCGTACCCATGAACGGTGGCTCCTACGATCGACCTGGCGGGGCGCAGAGGCCCTGATTGTGGCTAAAAATTGGCCCAATCGATTGTCTCATAATTTGCCTCTGAATGTAATGCCACGGAGAAAGACAATGCCTCAGATCAGTCAATTTGTCTGCGGGCGCTTATCAGCATCCTTGGCGGAAATCACCATGACACCAGCAATAGTATATGAGTAGAAAGCTTCTTGGCCATTTGGTGACACAGACAACCCTCTGGTGATTCCTTGTGAGCCGCTGCAACACTAGGACCTCCTGAGTCCCCATCCTCCGCCACCATGCCTCTGCTGGATGGATCCAGGAGCAGCGATCCTGTCATTCCTGGCACTCTCCACAATGTCTACCCCCAGACGTCATCAATAATGGAGTCTAGCTTGGATACGGAGCCGCGCAGACATGACTCGAGTGCGCGTCAGAAGATCGTAGTGGTAGGCTTGGGCATGGTTGCCATCTCGCTCATGTGCGTTCTCTCCCATCTAGAATGTATAGTATGAGTGGAGCTCGTGCTGACTACCCATGCCTTCCTATAGCGAGAAAATCATCAAGCAGGATGCAGATCGTCGACAATACGATATTCTTGTCATTGGGGAGGAGCCTCATGTCGCATACAATCGGGTCGGCCTATCCTCCTTCTTCGAGCACCGCAAGATCGAAGACTTGTATTTGAACCCCACAGAATGGGTAAGCCAACCGTGACCCAGATGCTGCACATGGGTGGTAACTGACTTCAATCAGTATGGATCGGTCAAAGATAGGTCCTTCGACTACCACCTCAACACACGAGTAACCGAGATCATCCCCCAACGCAAGTTAGTCAAGACATCAACAGGCGATACCATCACCTACGATATTCTTGTCCTTGCTACTGGCTCTGATGCTGTCCTCCCCACTCACACTCCTGGTCATGATGCAAAAGGTATTTTCGTCTACCGGACCATCTCTGACCTCGAGAGTCTCATTGAGTTCGCGTCAAAGCATAAAGGCGAGACAGGAGTCACAGTTGGCGGAGGCTTGCTAGGTCTCGAAGCAGCGAAGGCCATGACCGATCTTGGAGACTTTGGAAATGTGAAACTGATTGATCGTAACAAGTGGGTGTTGGCCAGACAGCTCGATGGAGACGCAGGGACGCTCGTGACACGCAAAATCCGAGAGCTGGGCTTGGATGTGCTGCACCAGAAGCGTGTAGCGACTATCAAGACCGACGCTGACAACAACGTCACGGGAATCGTCTTCGAGGATGGCGAGGAGATTGACTGCTCTTGCATTTGCTTTGCTGTATGCTTCTTTTCTCATCTGATGTTGCGAATGTTTTCAAGTTAACCATCTTTCCAGATCGGAGTACGCCCCAGAGACGAGCTGGGGCAATCCGCCGGCATTCAGTGTGCGGGACGAGGAGGCTTTGTCATTAATGAAAGGTATGATTGTGTATGCACTTCACGCCAACCAACCGTTATCTAATCGACTCTCGCAGTCTGCAAACATCCATTGAGGATATTTATGCTGTCGGCGAATGCGCAAGCTGGGAAAACCAGACATTCGGTATCATAGCGCCGGGTATTGAGATGGCCGATGTCTTGGCATACAACCTGACAAATCCTGAAAAGGGGCCAAAGAGTTTCACAAGGCCTGACTTGAGCACCAAGTTGAAGCTCTTAGGTGTGGATGTTGCCAGCTTTGGCGACTTCTTCGCTGACAGGGATGGGCCCAAGTTTCTGCCGGGTCAAAGGCCCTCACTTCGAGCCGACCGGAAAGACACTGAGGCTGAGTTGGAAAGTGAATCATCAGTGAAAGCACTCACCTACAAGGATCCCTTCAGTGGCGTCTACAAAAAGTACTTGTTCACCATGGATGGCAAATATTTGCTCGGCGGAATGATGATCGGAGATACGAAGGACTACCTCAAGCTGAACCAAATGGTCAAATTGCAGAAAGAGCTAGAGGTGCCTCCTAGTCAGTTTATCCTGGGTGCGCAAAATGACGGAGAGGAGAATGGAGACGACCTGTAAGTTTTGCTTCTTTTTCATACTACATGCATTGGCTAACAGATGAACAGTGACGGCAGTACTCAGATCTGTGCTTGTCATAATGTTACCAAAGGGGATTTGGTTGCCAAGATCAAAAGTGGCACCTGCAAAACCATCGGCGAGGTCAAATCGTGCACTAAAGCAGGGACCGGTTGTGGCGGCTGCATGCCCTTAGTGCAGTCGATCTTCAACAAGGCCATGCAGGACATGGGCCAAGAAGTCTCGAACAACTGTACGTTGACTTCCCCTCACCTAAGAATTGGAAACTGACATTCGCATAGTATGTACTCACATCCCACATTCACGAGTGGATCTGTACAATATCATCGCTGTGAAACAGCTGAAGACTTTCGAAGATGTGATGGGGGCAGTCGGAAAGAACCCCGAGTCGCTTGGCTGCGAACTGTGCAAGCCTGCGATCGCGTCCATTCTCTCGAGTCTCTTCAACCCTCATATCATGGATAAAGGATACCATGACTTACAAGAGACGAATGACCGATTCCTTGCCAATATCCAGCGCAACGGTACATTCTCTGTGGTTCCCCGTGTTCCGGGAGGTGAGATTACCGCAGACAAGTTGATTGCCATTGGACAAGTGGCAAAGAAATACAACCTATACTGCAAGATCACTGGAGGTCAGCGTATCGACATGTTCGGGGCAAAGAAGCAGGATCTCCTCGACATCTGGACAGAACTCGTGAATGCGGGTATGGAGAGTGGCCATGCTTATGCCAAGTCCCTGCGAACTGTTAAGGTGAGATCAGCCGAGTTTCATGCTATATTGTAAGAAATGACTAATATCTCTTTTCAGAGTTGTGTGGGCACGACCTGGTGCCGTTTCGGTATTGGTGACAGCGTTGGAATGGCCATCCGGCTAGAAGAGCGCTACAAGAGTCTCCGATCTCCTCACAAGCTCAAAGGTGCTGTTTCTGGATGTGTAAGAGAATGTGCCGAGGCACAGAATAAGGAGTAAGGCGGACAAATCTCTCGACTTCAGTGATACATCAGGCTAACATGCTTCAGTTTTGGCCTAATTTCCACCGAGAAGGGCTTCAATATCTTCGTCGGAGGCAATGGAGGTGCCAAGCCCCGGCACTCGGAGATCTTAGCCAAAGATGTGCCGCCCGAGAAAGTGATCCCCCTCATCGATCGGTATCTCATTTTCTATATCCGCACAGCGGATAAGCTTCAGCGAACAGCCCGCTGGATAGAGAACCTTCCTGGTGGAATCGAGTACCTGCGGGAAGTAGTGGTTGATGATAAGCTTGGGATTGGCGCGGAGATGGAGCAGCAAATGCAGGAGCTCGTGGACGGTTATTTCTGCGAATGGACGGAAACAATCCGAGATCCCAAGCGGCGCAAACACTTCCAACAATTCGCCAACACAGATGAGACAGTCGAGACTGTGGAGGTCATCAAGGAGCGTGGCCAAGAAAGACCCACCTACTGGTCTAATGAGCCTGCAAAGGCGGATTTCCAGGGCCACCAATGGTCCGGTCTTTCGTGGCAGCCTATGATCAAAGCAGACCATTTCTCGGATGGCATTACATCCGCAAACCTCAAACGCGGGGACACCCAGCTGGCTGTCTTCAAGATCAAGGGCAAATTCTATGCGACCCAGCAGATGTGCCCTCATAAGCGTGCTTTTGTCCTGTCCGATGGCTTGATCGGCGATGATGATGCCGGCAAGTACTGGGTGTCATGCCCAAATCACAAGCGCAACTTCGAGCTTAATGGGGAGCAGGCAGGTCGCTGTTCCAACGACGAGAGCATGAACATTGCCACATTTCCCGTGGAAGAGCGTGCTGATGGTTGGGTCTACCTGAAGCTGCCCCCGGTGGACGAGCTGGACTCGCTCCTCGGAACAGAGAAATGGAAAGTAAAGAAGGGAGAAGCACCGGACCCATTCCAGAAATATGACAGGAAGTACCGGGGTATCCGTGGGAAGAAGACGGTTGAGAAGCCACCGGCCAATAAGCGGGCGGTGCCATCTGGAGTGATTGATTGGTAGAGGTTGCAAATTCCCGCCTTGTTGAAGTCGTCACGAAGCTATGTTAGATACCTGAGGTTGCCAGTGCGTCGGCTGGAAACTCATGTGCCAATTCTGTAAATTAATGAAGACAATTTGATGTTAACAGCACCATTGTTATACCTAGGACAACTATGCATATAATACATGGAGATTTTGCTGAGTGGAGCATTGTTGTAAGGCCAAAGCCTGGATTTTGATACAAGAAACATAAGGAGGAATCATATCATTCCATCATACGTATGGATGTCCCGGCAGAAGAGATTTTGTGTGGGCCTTAATGTACCAGGGGGGGGGGGGGTAATTACTGCATAGGAACACACACTTTCTTCCAGTTTTACTCAATTATTTTTTGTTTCTATCATTCTTCTGTTATTTCAAGACTTCGCCTATTTCAAGGCAATTGAATCTAGTACCTGGCACCACAGGAGATTAGGGTACGGAACATCACGTTTGCAGTTTGTCTAATGTATGGAATGTGATTGGACGGCCAACTGACTGCCGAATAATCAGCCCATCGCGTGGTCTGTGCAGGCGGTGGGCACTTGATCTCCACTAACTGCTTTTAGTATTCATGGATCAATCCGTCCCGAG